CAAGTCCTGGGTGTGCTCTTGAGGGGTGGAGTCTCCCACCCACGTGAAGTACCAAGGCTGGACCCAGAGGGGCCCTGAGAGTAGGACCATAAAAACCAAGGGGCCAGCCTCGTAGGGGCTCACTCACTGGGGTGACGGAAGAGGGGAGCTGGCGTCTTTAGACCTCACATCCACGTGACATTCACGACTTCTCGTGACCAGAACATCCAACAGCAGCTTACTTTGGCTCACAGTCTAGAGCGTCTCAGCCCCATGGCATGGCCTGGTGAGCTCCTGGTAGATGCATCACACACGGTGGACACAGGAACTGGGGCCCGGGCTGTGCTTTCAAAGACCCACCCTATAATCCATGTCTGCCAGCTAAGTTCCTGTCTCTTAAAGGTCACAGCTGGGGAGCCAGTGTTGAAAACACCAGCCCACAGGAGGCACTACTTTGGCGTCTAGGCTGATGGTGTTTGCGGGCGGGGTTACTGGGAGGCAATCAGGTTTGGATGATGATGGCGGTGGAGTGGGACACCCCGTGGCAGGGCTGGTGGGGCTCTGTAAAGGGGAAGAGAGGCCTGAGCTGACATATGCTTGCCTGCCGTGTGGGACCATGCGTGCCCTATGCCATGCGATGATACATCACCAAACGAGGTGTTATGCTCTTGGATTCTGCAGCCTCCAGGACTCTTGAGTCAAATGAACTTGCATTATTGTTTCTTTTTTCCTTAAAAACTTCTTTTCTAAGACAGACCGAGGATAATTCCATCGGGATTCGAAAGACAAAGCAGAAGGGAAGTGATAGAGAGCTCACGGAGAGAAGGTGCGTTCTCTGATGGAGATGCAGCAAGCAGGTGTATGGACGTGGGGGGGGAGGCCCCGTGCCAGGGCCAATGTTTACAGAAAGGAGACAGGAGGAGGAAGAAAGAAAGAATAACACTTTCGGGAGTTAGAGTTCAGGGAAGTGGGCACGTTTGGTAGTGAGTGTGCGGAAGACTGCCAACCTCTGCTCTTTGTCAATCACCTAGTTGCAGGTATCTCGTTAGAGCAACCAAAAGCAGACCCAGATGTGTGGCCGTCAGCAGCGTGTTGGGCATCGGGTGGGTCGTGACTGCTCACTGAGACTACAGCGAGGAAGAACCACCCTAGCCGTGGCTGGATTGCAGGTGAGAAGTAAGGGGATGCCTCATCCTTTCTCCACGCCCTCCCTTTCCCCAATCCTGCTGAGCTGAACCCAGTCAACTCGCAAGTCCCCCGCATGCTGGAAAGAGAGGAAACTGGCTAGCATATGGCGGAAGTTTGAGAAAGGCACGCTATCGAACTGGGTAACACGGTCGCAACCCCAAGGAGGTACCCAGCCATGTCTCTGGGAGATAACCGCACACCATTTGGGAGGTCTGTTAAGACGCCATCCAGCAAGGAGACAATTTAGGAACTGAGATGCCTTGCTGCAGGACACACTCAGGGTGGCCAGACTATTGTGAGCACTGGCCCTTGAGCTCACCCCAGCTTGTGGTGGAGGATGCAGAGGCCTGGAAGCTGCTCAGAGCAGAGCTCAGGCTGAAGAGAAAACCGTGAGCCAACTCACAGAGGACGGATGGAGACCAGGAGGGTCCCCCCTGATCCAGGTACGTGTTCTCCCTTGTTCTTTTTGCCAAAAGAGCGCATCACACCTAGGACCCGACTCTTAACAGACCCACTCTAAAGATAAGTCATACCCAGTACCTTGGACCTCCTCTTGGACACTTGGAGGGTTTCTGGCACTGGCTGGAGCCTGGCAGTGTCACGTAGTGGGCATTTGCTACCCAGCCCTGGCAGAACTAGATTCTTCACTAGCTGGGAGGCCAGGGTGTGTCTCCTTGCCACTCTATGCCTCAGTTTCCCCTGTAGGTTAATAAGCCTACTCCACAGAATTATTGCTAGGGCCAGGATGTGGTTAGCAGTACAGTTCCAGTGAGGACTCTCTTCCCCCCCTCATCACACCCAGAGCCTCGGGCAGCTTCCTGCCTCCACCCCCCAACCCCCAAACACAGCAGTACTTCTGTGCTGGGACTTTCCCAGGTCAGGCCGACCGGAGTCCCTGAGAATTTATTGTGGTCAGTGATACTCCTCCCACACCTGTTCCTGAGAGAGCACAGTCCTGTGACTTTGACACACCACAAGAGCATCTAGAAATGTCAGTGATGCCTCAGCGGCGGCCTTCCCAAAGGGCAGTCATTGTGTCTATGGGGCACTGGATTCCTCCAGCTTGGACAGCCATGGTGTGAATCGGGCTCAAGTCAGTGAGAAGATAAATGAATCTCTGTCCCGTGGGGCAGGAGACGGCTGGCTGTTGGGTGGTCAAGACTCTTGTAACTTTAGAGGAGAGAGAGAGCCTTCCTGGCTGCTGGCAGAGACAATGGAGGAAGGCAAAGAGCCCTCCTTTTCTAGCCCACCTTTCCAGATGTTGCCTGTAACAGCTGCTCCGGGGCCTTTGGTGACATAAAGTCTACCGAGAAGCTAACCAAGGCTCAAACACATGTTCCTCCCATCCAGTGTCCTCAGAAACTGAACCGCATCCCCAGCATTGTGGACTAGGAGAGGCTTTCTTTTTAGTTTGCCCAGTTGCCATGCGGAATATCCACAAACACAAGGCAAGGACTCCTTCCTCCAGACCCTTCCCGGAAACGGCCACATCAACATGGTGCCTGCCATTTCCTCCCAATCATTTGACGTGAATGAAAAATGAAAAGACAGTTGGCCAGCCACAGAACTCTGGGCTCTCGGGCTCCATAGCACACACAGCCTGAGTGTCACAGCTCCCCCGTCTCCTGTGGGTCACCGCTTTTATACACACATCCCGTCTCCAGGGTCCACATCCACCTTCCCAAGATTTCAGGCTCTAGAAGTGTATGAAAAGGGCTTCAAGTTTTTCCACGCTACCTCTTTCTCTGCCCATTACCTGGCTTAGTACCTTGACCCTGACTGGCACCCACAAGGCATTTGTTGACTGATGTAGCGAAGAGGCAAAAAGGGTGAACCTGTTTTAGAAGGGCTCTCTCCGAGGATGCTTTCCAGACAGGGTCCTGATGCAGCCTAACACTTTTAAGTACTACCAAGACTCATGTAGACACAGACAGCTTCCCTCGGGGAGGTTACAGGCTGGACTTGACCAACAGGACCTCAACAGTCGAGTACACTTTGAGGACTCCACATTGGAAAATCCCAAGGCCAGGACCCCAGTAGCTGCATACTGTCTGGGCTCTGCAGAGCACCTGTCTGCCAAGAAAGAAGCAGGTAGCAGGTGGATGGATGGGACCCTACACACACACACACACACACACACACACACACACACACACACACCCTGCAACCCTGGGCCAGGGTGTCGCTAAGTGCAGAGTAAAAGCTTATTCTTGGCACTGAGGGGAGTTGGGGGCTGGAGTTTCTGAGGGGGAGGAGAAATTGCAGAGAAAGAAGAAACCCAGAAGCCGCAGAGAGCGGGGCAGCTGTGGACTGAACTTGGTGTTCCTGCTCATGTAGATGTATTAATTTCCATAAATGCTAATAGCCTATCTCTCCAAGAGCTATTACTTATGTCATCTCCCCTTGGATGTGGTTCAGCACAGGGCAGACAAATGCAATGGAGCAAGAGGCAACCCCCACCAGTGGGTCCTTGGCTCCCCGCCCCTCTTCCAAACGGGCCTCTCAAGTCTGGTTTCTGATGTGGCCCCTCATACCTTCCAAGTCCAGACCACCTGCCTTTAAGACAGGTCCCTTTCACACCAGTAAGCAAAGAAAGTTACCAACCCCAAAAAACGCTGACTCACAAAATGAGACTGAGCTGTAAGGGAGGGTGGGTCAGAAGGGGGATGGATGGTGGCCCGTGGGCAGGCAGCAAAGGGTGCCAGAAGGCATCCTGCAGGAGACCCCAGGACAAGTGCCAGGAGAGCCAGGAGAAGCAGCAGGGTGTGCCAGTCGGGAGGGGAGGGCAGGTGGGCAGGTACACCTTGCTGCAGATACTGCAGCAGGCAAGCGGTGCAGCATCTGGGCTCCGCATCGTGCAGCAGTAGCAGCAGTAGCAGGTAGGGGAGGTGGGGGTGTGCTAGGGGTCAGTGCCCCGGCATGGGGAGAAGCTGAGGGTAGCGGTAGAGGTCTAGAAACAGAGGCAGGGGACAGAGTACAGATACAACGAGTGTCAGTGTGCTGGGGAGTACCGCAAATAGAGATAGCAATGCGGTGGCGGTGGCGGCGGGGATAGAAGGGCCTGGGAGCGGAATGGGTGGGAAGTTGGGGTCAGGGCGAAAGGGACACCCGGCAGGCTGCAAGGACGAAGAATGAGTCTAGAGGAGCGACAAGGAGAGGAATGGAGAAGACGGCTACTAGGAGTGCACAGAGGCCGGGAGAGAGGATGAGAAGCAGGGAGGCAAGGGCGAGGTGAGGATGCCGGGCGGGAGGACGTGGGGGGGGGGGATGAAGTTTGGGGTTGGGGTCCAGGATGTCGGCTGAAAGGTGGGGTAGGATGACAGGGAAGCAGAGAGGGGTGGGGTGGAGGCAGGGGGACGGTGGACAGGGAGATGGGGAGGCTGGAGAGGAGGTGAGAACCGCAGCGGGGGCAGGGATGCAGGGCTGGGGAAGAGGGGATGGAGAGGGACCGCGGTACCCGCTACAGCGCGGCCTCGCAGGTGCCCGCCGGGGTCGCCCGGCTGCACTCACCTGGGGGCCTCCAGCTCCGGATCCCGCGCCCCGCTCCGGATCTTCCTTCCCGCCCTGCCCTAGCGACTTCAGCGCCCCCGAATCCCGCTCGCTCCCGCAGGTTCCGCCCGCAGCATCTTTACCTCGTGGGACGCCCGCAGCCACGCCCCTAGCAGCCTATCATTGGCTAGGACTCACGTCAGTCACAGCCTCATTGGCGGAGGCCAGAGAAGCCCATGCAAATCATGCCGCTCCCGCCGGCGCGCCGATTGGCTGGCGCGCGCGGAGTCAGGGTCCTTGGGCTCGGGTTCTCATTGGCCGCGCGGCCTTGACGGAGGAAGTGACCCGAGGCGGGGTCTGTGCTGAGTGCGCCGAGCCCCGCAGGTCGGGCTCCTCGCGGGGGTGGGTGCCGATCGGGCGACCCCCTTTGTCCAGTGCTGAACCCACGAGACCTTGGGTTCAGCTGGGGCACCGGCCGCCGGATCGCTGGATCCACGGTGCGGGACGTCCTCGGAAGCGTGGATCCGGTGCCCGTCTCCTAGGTAACACGCCAGCGGTGGACTGCACCAAGTGCGGGGGAAGTTTGCGTGTTTTGGAAGCGCGGGTGGCAGCACAGCTCGAGGAGACCTCAGGGTCCCGGGCGGGGATGTGCAGATGACGTCTCACTGACGATCTGGTGCTTGCAAGCCACGGCCCGAAACACAGGGCTGGGTCTAGGTCGCGCAGCTTCCACCTTCTCCCCCTCGCGTCGCCATTGGTGCATCCCGGTTGCCTTCAGAAGTTGGGCGTCGGGGTCTCCTTCGGTTTGTCCTCGGCTTTCTGACCCGGTTACCGCAGCAGTCCCGGTGCCTAAACGGATGAGATGCGCTCGCCAGAGTCTCGAAGATGCCCACGGCCTGGTGTGCGTGCATCTTTCCCGGCCCTAGTACGTGCTGCCCTCAATGCACTGTGAGGCCCGGGCCCTATCCCTGTCTAGCCCTCGGGGCGCAGGGTCGATCCCGCTTTCTTCATTCATTGCTGGGATGCAACCTACGTTGATGTCTTGGTTTCCGGTGTGCCCAGTCTTTCTTGCCTTGGTCCGGAGAGATGTACTCGTGGCTCAAGTGGAAATTTGCACTGAAGCCAGCTTTGCGGGTTTAGGGAACGGGCAAACTCTCCCTGTTCCAACCCTGGTCTCCTTTGCGGCTCAGCCATGCAGCTTCCACGGGGCCATAATTCTACCTTGTGTCCCAAACTGCCCTAGCACTATCTCGTTTGTACCCAGTGGTCTTCCAGACTATTTACTTCGGTGAAGACCACGTCTTTAGTCCCATAGCAGAGGGTGAATGAGAGCAAGACAGGCACCCCTTACTCAAACTTACAGGTAAACCCTCCATCACCACTTACTGAGTAGACCTGCAGAGATGAAGCCCCTAAGACCCCAACCCAAGTTGTCATCATGCAGATCGGAATCAGGGAGTGTGAGCATCTTGGCTGAGGTTGAGGAGAAAAGAACTGGCCCTCATCTTTGGATATCTCCACCAGGAGACATCTTTTCCCCCTTGACTTCTTGAGTGGGAGGAGGAGAGTTGTCATGGGTGTGAGGGAGCACCTATTAGCTGTGAACTCATCTGTCTGAGCCTCTCCCCCTGTGTAGGGTGGCCTGTGATGACACTGCCTTCCAGTTGCTGGAAACTTCTTTGTCAATTTTTTTTAAAAAAAATTAATTTATTTTTTTACATTCCAATCCCAGTTCCCCCGCCCTCCTCTTCTTCTGCTCCCCCTACAATCCCCCCTTTTCCCGTCCGCTCCAAGGAGAGGGTGCGGCCTCCCATAGGAAGTCTGCTAAGTCTGTCCCATCATCTCATTGAGGCAGGACCAAGGCCCCTCTGAGGTGGAGACTTCTTATTAGGTATGAATGTTTGGCCTAGCTCAGGCTCCTTTCTGGCTAGCTCTTTTTAACTTGAATTAGTTACCCTGTTTCTTTTCATCTACGTTTTGCCTCGGGGATTTTTACCTTTCTCTGTGTATGTTCTAGTCTGTGTCTGTCTGGCGGCCCAGGCATGTCTCTCTGTCCCTCATTTCTCTGGTTCCTTTGAGTGCAGATTTCTCCTTGCAGCCTTCCAGCTCCACTCATCCCTCTCCTGCCTAGCTATTGGCCTTTTTAGCTTTTCATTGACCAATCAGGTGCCTTAGGCAGGCGAGGTATATATAACAAACGCATCTTTACATAATTAAACAAATGCAGCGCCAACAAATATAACTCATCTTCACATCATTAACAAAGGCCGAAGAAACAAAGGTGACGCGTTTTCATGAAGTAATAGTGTCTCAGGGGGCATAAACAAATGTAACACTTCTTTGCCTGGTTAATATTTCCCTACAGGGGCCAGTACCCACAAGTCCGCCTTAGGAATACTAGCATGAAGTTTAGGCACAAACAAGGCAGGAAGTATGCACGACTAAGTAGTCCTGGTCAGGGCGTGGTCCTGTCCATCAGTGACCCATTCCTGTCTCTGCTCCAGTTTCTCCTGCAGGGTGGCCTGACTGGTTGGAACTGTGTGAAGTCTTCCTTTCTCTGCCACCAAGGCTTTGACCTTCCCTCCTCCCGGCACGGATTCCTGGGGAGGTTTTATTTCTTTGGGGTTATAAAATGTCTCTTTAGACTATCTTCTCTGCCAGGGAGGTTATATTTCTTTCAGTCACTGACAGAGTCTCTCCAAGGGCTGGTGCTGACTCAGGGAGCTCACCACCTCCCAGGACTGCATCGACTGCACAGCCCTGTATAACATTTCTACAGAGGGCTGCGGGGAGGTGGGCCCTTCAGATCTCCAGTGTGAACCTGACAGGCAGTTGGGACAGCGTGGGGCAGGCAGACCCTGGAAGGGTAGGCCGGTGCTCGAGTACTTTTCAAGACTTGTGGGGTGAGATCACTGGCCCGAGGAAGGCCAGGGGCAGTGTGGGGGCTCAGGTCAGAAGAAATAAATGCTCACGGTGCTCTCAGATATGGATCCTCAATGAGTGCATGTCCGTTTGATCTGGAGAGCAGTGAACAGCGTCTCTCCAGGAGAAAGACCAGCCTGGCTTCCCTCCCCTGCAGCACTGCTCAACGCTGTGACTTTCTCCCAAGTTCTCCTGTGGAATCGCTGCCAAGGCCATGCGTGGGAAGGACAGTCCTCTTCTGCCAGGGGCTGGCTGGGGAGTGCGGTCACCACAAGATAGACCGCAAGGGCTGTGGCCAGCAGAAACACAGGGGCCGGGCAAGCCTGGGGCTGGACCCAGGGCCATCCAGGAGCCCCTCACTTCCAGTAAGAGGTAGCCTTGGAGTGAGTGCTGGCCACAACTCTTTTATAGTAGGCACCTCTGTGAGCTTCCTTCCCATGGCTGCCGTCACCAGATGCCACAGGCTCAGTGGCTGGGACCAACAGACACTGATTCTTTTCCAGTTTTGACCATCAGGCATACAAGAATCTATCTCACTGAGCTGAGATCAGGGTGTGGGCAGGGCAGTCGCTCTGGGGACCTCCTGCTGAGAATGTCATTTCTAGCTCCTGGAGGCACCTGCATCTCTTGGTACCCGGCTATTCTTTCCTCTAGAGGCCTTGGTCTTGCTGCGGCCTCCTGCTCTCTCTGAGCCTTCTTAGCTGTCTCTTGTAGGGACAAGTGCATGTTCCAGGCTCTGCTGGTGTTCCAGTACAGTCTCCTCGCTCCTGTGCAAAAACCCTGTTTGCCGTGAAGAGTCACATGTTCCCAGGCTCCAGGATTAGGGTGAGAATTCCGCTTGCCAGGGACTCTGACTCAGGCGGGGGCAGGAGCTTCTCGGAGTCACTGTTGGCTTGTGTCCTTCACCCCAGTGGTTAGGGGCACTGCTTCCTGTCTGCTGTCTTCAGCCACCCCCCACCTTGGTTGTCTGAGTCTGCTTGCTCCTGCACCCGGATTTCCTGGGATTCAGGGCTGGGTAGTCTTGGGCAGCTTCAGGCTGTAAAGGAGTGCCAGTCCAGGCTGAGTCTCCCAGGGGAAACTGCCTATGGCACTGTGTGGGAATCACCTGTTTCCCTTTGAGTAACTACTTCAGGCCTCTGGCTGAGTTGGAGGCAGCCCTTCTCATGCAGGGAATGGGGCCCTCTTCCCAAAGAACAGGGGAAGTGTGGCATCCTGGTAGCCTGCCACGTCCTCATGGAGACAGAGCCACATGGGTGGTGTTGGGCCACTGAGGGGGTTCCTGGTTTGTAGGTGTGTTCCAGGGAAGGCTAGGATGTAGTCAGGGACCCTGAGTTGTGTGTGTGTGTGTGTATGTGCGTGAGTGTGCGTGAGTGTATGTCTGTGTGGTGAGTGTGTATGTGTGTCTGTATGTGTGTATGTGTGTGTGAGTGTGTGTGAGTGTATATGTGTGTGAGTGTGTGGTTTTTTGTGTGAGTGTATGTCTGTGTGGTATATGTGTGTGAATGTGTGTGAGTGTGTGTATGTGAATGTGGTATATGTGTGTGTGAGTGTGTGTGTGAGTGTGTGTGAGTGTATATGTGTGTGTGAGTGTGTGTGTATGTGCGTGAGTGTATGTCTGTGTGGTGAGTGTGTGTGTGAGTGTGTGTCTGTGTGTGTCTGTGTGTGTATGTATGTGTGTGTGTGAGTGTGGTATATGTGTATGTGTGTGTGTGAGTGTGTGTATGTGTGTGTGAATGTCTGTGTGTCTGTCTGTGTGTGAGTGTGTGTGAGTGTGTGTGTGTCTGTCTGTGTGTGTGTGAGTATGTGAGTGTGTGTGTGTGTGAGTGTGTGTGTATGTGTGTCTGTGTGTGTGTCTGTGTGTGTGTGTGTCTGTGAGTGTGTGTGTATGTGTGTCTGTGTGTGTGTGTGTGTCTGTGTCTGTGTGTGTCTGTGTCTGTGTGTGTGTGTCTGTGTGTGTATGTGTGTGTGTGTGTCCCCAGTTGACAGTCTTGTCCTTTTCTGTCCTCAAACACTCTGAGCATGGAGGGGTGGGTGACCCCTTTTCACTTTACCTTTAAAGAAATTTGTGAGGACCCCGTGAGACTTCAGTGTGTGCGATCTCTGTCTGCTCGTGCTCACTGTATGAGAGGTCAGGACCCACAGGCACCAAGAAACACTAGCTAATTTAAAGAACGGCATCGGTAACCCCGGCCACACGATAACACACAGAACAGATGAGAGTAGGGCTTTCATCAGCGTAGTAGGAGACGGTTTGTTCTGGGCCGGGGCGCCTCCCCACTGGGTAAGAGGAGGGCCCCGTGATGGGTGCTGTCCCTGCGTGCTCCCCGCCTCCCCAGTGTCTCTTCATGCAGCTCCGGCTAGCCTGGACTAGCTGTGTAGACCAGGCAGGCCTTGAACTCGCATTGTGTCTCCTGCCTCCTCCCAGTTGCTGGTATTAACAGGTGTGTGGCTTACACGATCCTGGGGACGGAACACAGGGGGTTGTGCACAAATAGTCGAGCACCATATGGATGGTTTCTCACAGGTCGTTTTCACAATAGAGTCCCTGTCAAAAAACCGGCTTCCTACTCACCAGCTTCTGCCTCAGGACCTTTCATTCTCACAGGGCTTTGAAGTGTTATGATCACTGGTTATTGATCGCTTGGAATGAGCTGGCACTCAGAGTTCCACGGGTCTCCCACATGCTTACACATGTGAGCACATGCTTACACATGTGAGCACATGCTTACACATGTGAGCACGCACTCCCTGAAGACGGCATTCGTCTTGCCCCTGTCCTGTCTTGCTCACAGGGGTGGTCTTGAAGGATGATGCAGTCAGGTTGGCAGTGGAGGGCACAGACGTTTCTTAACTCTTTTTTTTTTTTTTTTTTGGTTTGAAAACGCTCTAGTTTTGCTCGTCTTCCTCAGAGTGGCAGGTTCACTTTGTTCGTTTGAGAAAGTGTCAGGCGAAGTTGGCACTTTCCCACGCTTCTCCGAAGTGGTCAATGGAAAAGCCGGCTGGGCAGGCAGCAGCCCCAGCAGGCTTTCCCCTGATGCCCAGCGGCCTGTGGCTCTGCAGCAGGCGCGGGCGCGCTCTACTCTGCTTTTCCTCACCGCGTACCCAGCAGTCCAGATGCAGTGACACTGATCGCTTCCCGGCCTCTGCCCAGCACCCGTTCCTGTCTGGTGAGGCTGGTGTTTCCATTGTGTGGTGACAAACTTGCCAGGAGCCACAGCCACCGTGGCCTGTGTCCCACCAGTGCAGATGTCTCCAGGGCGGGAACACCAAGAGCCGCGGAGGAGGCCACCCCTACCGCTCCTCCCACACTGGCCTCTGTTCACACCATCTGTCAGCCGAGGAGACAGCAAGGGAAGGGGGGTGGTGACCCTGTCTGGCTGCACAGGCTCAGGTGACACCTGATGGGCGAGGTCACGAGAAGCTAGTAACGCCGCCGCTGGCTCTGGCAGTAAGAGACCTTGCCACATAGCCCGGCCCTTCTTGGTGACTGGCCTCAGGGCTCTAATGAAAATGACATTGGGACTCAGTGGCTCTGCCTCCTGCTCATTCCGTTCCGTTCTGTCCTTCGGTTCCGTTCCCCTGCGTGTCTCAAGGTAACTGCTCCGTTGCCTTTGGCGGTGTCTGTTCCCAAGCCCTTATTTCCCTCCGTGCAGAACCAGCAGAGACGGAGATTGGCACCTCACTGGCTCCCATTGGCTCACGCTCCCTGAATGCTTTAGGGCATCGTCTGCCACACTCCTGGTGTCCTCAGACAGTGCTGAACCCACATAGCTGTTCAGAGCAGCCCTGCATGCCCCCTGCTTAAACCAGCAATGCAGCTGCTGCAACGGGGTTTGCAGGACTGGGCTGCCACGTGAGGGGTTCTGTGTGGGGGGGTGGAGGCTCCTGCGGTATCCTTCCGAGTCAGGTGAGCTCTGGGTTGCTAATTGTTGCCTTCCCTTCCGCTACAGATGGTGCAGGGAGTCCTGGAGGCACAAGGGAGGTTGGATGGGCAGCATGGATGACTGGCACACAGCCTTCACCCAAAACACACTTGTCCCTCCTCACCCACTGAGAGCGCGCCAGCTCGGGAAGGAGTCCACAGCATTCCAGTGTGTCCTGAAGTGGCTGGATGGGCCACTCATTAAGCAGGTAATGAGGTTCTCCACTGGTCATTTCAAATGCTGCTGTCTGAGACGAGGCTTCCAGTTAACACCCATTTTCACTCATCTCCTCGGGTCTCATCGCTCTCTGCCCATTACCTTGGACTCGGCGGTACTCAAACGACAGACACAGAGCACGGGAATCGGCCATTCGGTCCGTACCCGGGGCCTTGAGCGGGCATTTCTGCCCACGGCGCTACAGTGTAGACTCCCGGGTAGTCCAGCTTGTGGGCTGTCTTGTGAGCTAAGGTGTAGGAAGGAGCCTTGTGCGCCGTCCTGTGTGGCCCTCCTTCGGTTTACAGCGGGCAGAGTGGCTGATGGGGAAGTGCTCGTGCTTGGACGCCCATGAGAGCCTGTGCGTCTGCGCAGCTACTCAAAGGGCACTTGTGTGGTCTGTGCCCCTCTGAAGCACCTGGCCTGCCGGGATGTCCGGGAAGGAGCCCGCCCTACTGGTGAACACGCCCTGTTTCTCCGGTTGCCTGCTGCTGCCTACGTGATAGGATTCACACATTCAGTTGTTAGCCCAGAGCAGTGTACAGCTCCTGGCCCTCTGATGGAGGGCTTCCTGTGCTTGCTGCACAGGGGTAGGTACCAGGGTGTCTGCTGTGCCACGGCTGTTGCTCACCCTCAGCCCTGTGAGGGGCTCCAGCCTCACCCTCGTTTCAGAGCAGAACCTGAAGAGGGAAGCCAGCTGCTTGGAGCTACTTACTTCCCATTGGCCCTGGACTGCTCCCTATCAGGGCCTTTCCTTTCCCAGACGGTTCCCGAAGGAGAGTACCACATCCCCGCCCCCTTCTTGGTTTGAGAAAACTAATTTGCAGAGTTTGAAATGCGCAAGAAACACAAAGACAGTGAGTGGTCAGTGTCCTAAGTCAGATGCCACCAGGAGTGTGGCTTCTGTATGAGACTTCATAAAGCCTAAGCAATACAGTAAATACAACTATGTATTTTCACTTTTATGTGTGGGTCTGTATGAGTGTATGTGCTCCGTTTGTGTCAGGTGCCTGTGGACACCAGCAGAGGGCATCAGATCCCCTGGAGTTGATTGGAGTTATGGGCAGTTGGGAGCCACCAGACATGGGGGCTGGGCCTCTGTAGGAGCACTAAGTGCCTTTAGCCCCTGAGCCATCTCTCTGCTCCTATTACCATTATTATTATTATTATTATTATTATTTATCGAGACGGGGTTTCTCTGTGTAGTTTTCGCTGTCCTGGATCTCACTCTGTAGACCAGGCTGGCCTTGAACTCATAGCAATCTGCTTGCCTGTGCCTCCCGAGTGCTGGGATTAAAGGAGTGCACCACCACTGCCCGGCTGACTCCCGTTATTATTATCATTGAGACAGGGTCTCACTCTGTAGCTCAGAATGGCCTCAAACTCCTTATCTCTTGCCTCAGGTTCTTGAGTGTTGAGACACAGGTACATGATATCACACCTGGCTCATTTTCCTCCTTTAAATGTTAATGGCTACTCCTGCTCACCCCGGCTACTCCTGCTCACCCCGGCTACTCCTGCTCACCCCGGCTACTCCTGCTCACCCCGGCTACTCCTGCTCACCCCGGCTACTCCTGCTCACCTTGGCTCCGGCTCAGCCTGCTGTTTCTGTGCATCATGGCTCCCACCAGGGCTCCTCCTGCTTACCCTGCTTACCCTGGCCCCAGCCCAGCGTGCTGTGGTCTCACAGGCTCCGTGGTATAGACAATTACTAGGATTTTGCTGAGTTCAAGAGGTGATGGCCACTGAAAAGGTTTCTTAAACAGCTGCTGAGAAAGCAGGCCTGGACATGGAGGTCTGTGCTGGGCCCCGGGGCGGCCAGGAGTCACAGGGAAGGCCTGGACAGGCTGAGCAGCTGGGGACTGTCCAGCTCGTGTAACTGTAGTGATCCCTGCGGCATTGGACTGTCCAGTTTTCTGGGTTTTGGTTCTGGGATGGAGAGGTTCTGTGTGCAGGTCGAGGAGAGCATTCGGGGGTGGTCAGGGTTCTGTTCTGGTAGGTTTGCCCATCGAGCCAAGGCAATGGCCACCTCTGAGAACTGGCCTATGTGGGAGGGCATGGCATCTCTAGTCAGGGATTGTCCGGTTGGCAGAGGTTCAAGGACACACAAAATGAGAAGACACAGTAATTTATGGAAAAATGGAGCATCTCGAGTACCTCTTTCCAGTCCCTGAGAATCCCAGCTCTCTTGCCCTAGGGACTGACTGGTGCTGGGCTTCAAGTTCTGCTGGCTTTCTGCCCCCAGATCCCCAGGTCCCCAGGTCCCCCGATCCCCAGACCCCCAGGTCCCCAGGCCCCCAGGCCCCCAGATCCCCAGGCCCCCAGGTCCCCACCGTCTCTTAGTTCCCGGCCCAGATGCTGCCTTCCGGGAGTCCCTTCCCTGAGTGGTCCCCGCAGGCAGTTTCTTCCTCTGTTCCTCTCCTGTCCTTGGTGCCTGGAACTGCGCCAGGCAGAGTAGAAACGGACAGGGTCAGGGAAGGTTTGTTGGGTGACTGGACAAGAGGAAAGCAGGGCATCCTGTCAGGATGGATTTAACGTGGCTGCTCGGAGTGAGGGAGTCATCTGAACGGCTTAAGCCAGAGGAGGGTCATTAAACAACACGGCAGGCACGTCCCAGCACCAGCCTCAGCTGCGGTTTGATCCAGGGTCTCACGGGAGGCAACCTGGACTCATGTCCTCCATGTCTTGGCTCTGTTTGCTAACAGACTGGCTGCCGCAGCCCCGGGTCTGACTGGCCGACATGTCCTGGCCTCTGGTGTCCCTACTGCCTTTGCATGTGTCTTAAGTTGGTGCCTCCTGGGGGCATTTCAGGGTTCTAACTGGCCCGAGCAGGCTGAGCGCCACGGTTTGTAACGCCACAGAGACCAGTTGCTATGGAGAAAGGTTGAGGCCTAAAGGAAACTGAGCAGCCGGTAGTTGACTAGGGGTAGAACTGATGGCCAGAGCCTCCTGGAGGTCTCCCACAGTGGCACTGGGTGGCCAGAGCCTCCTGGAGGTCTCCCACACTAGCATTGGGTGGCCTGGAGTCCCCTGGAGGTCTCCCACACTGGCACTGGGTGGCCTGGAGTCCCCTGGAGGTCTCCCACAGTGGCACTGGGTGGCCTGGAGTCCCCTGGAGGTCTCCCACACTGGCACTGGGTGGCCTGGAGTCCCCTGGAGGTCTCCCACAGTGGCACTGGGTGGCCTGGAGTCCCCTGGAGGTCTCCCACACTGGCACTGGGTGGCCTGGAGTCCCCTGGAGGTCTCCCACACTGGCACTGGGTGGCCTGGAGTCTCCTGGAGGTCTCCCACACTGGCACTGGGTGGCCTGGAGTCCCCTGGAGGTCTCCCACAGTGGCACTGGGTAGCCTGGAGTCCCCTGGAGGTCTCCCACAGTGGCACTGGGTGGCCTAGAGTCCCCTGGAGGTCTCCCACACTGGCACTGGGTGGCCTGGAGTCCCCTGGAGGTCTCCCACACTGGCACTGGGTGGCCTGGAGTCCCCTGGAGGTCTCCCACAGTGGCACTGGGTGGCCTGGAGTCCCCTGGAGGTCTCCCACAGTGGCACTGGGTGGCCTGGAGTCCCCTGGAGGTCTCCCACAGTGGCACTGGGTGGCCTGGAGTCTCCTGGAGGTCTCCCACACTGGCACTTGGTGGCCTGGAGTCTCCTGGAGGTCTCCCACACTGGCACTGGGTGGCCTGGAGTCCCCTGGAGGTCTCCCACAGTGGCACTGGGTAGCCTGGAGTCCCCTGGAGGTCTCCCACAGTGGCACTGGGTGGCCTGGAGTCCCCTGGAGGTCTCCCACAGTGGCACTGGGTGGCCTGGAGTCTCCTGGAGGTCTCCCACACTGGCACTGGGTGGCCTGGAGTCCCCTGGAGGTCTCCCACAGTGGCACTGGGTGGCCTGGAGTCCCCTGGAGGTCTCCCACACTGGCACTGGGTGGCCTGGAGTCCCCTGGAGGTCTCCCACACTGGCACTGGGTGGCCTGGAGTCCCCTGGAGGTCTCCCACACTGGCACTGGGGTGGCCCTTCAGGACTTCTTTTCTGGTGTCCCCTAGGGAATCCTGGACATGTTGTCAGAGCTTGGATGCCACCTGCGAGTCTCTCTCTTCGATGTCACCTACAGACACTTCTTTGGGAGGACATGGAAAACCACGGTGAAGCCCACCAATCAACTGTCCAGGCAGCTGCCCAGGATCTTCTTCAATGAGGTGGGTTCTGGGGACTGTGGGGTGGGCGGGGACTGCTTTACGGTAGGGTACAGGTGTGCTGGGTTCTGGCAGCCCAGACAGTGGGGCATTGGCACACACTTCTCAGAGCCTTAGGCATAGCCCGGAGCAGCAGGTCTGCTGCTGCAAAGCTTGTCTTAGTGGTGGGATGCCGTTCAGCCAGGTAGACGTGCTTAAGATGGCTTGCAGGGGTGTGGGGGTCCTACCCCCTTCGGGAAGCCCTCTGGAATCTTGGAACAGTGAAGTCACTGATCTCAACTGATGGTGTGTTATCTTTAACACCCCCCCCCCCCTCCGTGACGAAAAATACCCGGGTATCAACGACACAGGCGGCAGTTTGGACTTTTCAGTTCACAGGCCTGGGCTCTGCCGTTTCCGGTCCTGTGGTGAGGCAGTCCAGTGACGCGGCAGGGATGTGTGGCTGCACCTGTCCTCTCATGGCGAGAGGGAGTGGAGAGAGAATGCCTCGCCTCGTGGGCTTACCCTCCCTGTCTTTGTGCCTGGACCTTTAGTCTATGGGAGAGCATCACTTCCATTCTGAGTGGGTCATGTCCCTGTGGTTCAGCGGCTCTCAGCCTTCCTAATGGCACCGCGACTGTTTAATGCAGTTTCCCGTGCTGCGGTGGAACCCCCCCCCCCCCCCAGCCATGACGTTGTTTACGTTGCTGTTTTATAACTGTGATTCTGGTACTCCGTGTAAACACCTGGGGTTTCCAGCGCTCTTAGGCGACCCCTGTGAACGAGGGTCGTTTGAACCCGCCCCCCCAGACGGGTCATGACACACAGGTTGAGGACCACCGCTATAGCCAGCCCTGTGTGGAGGGGCCCTCACAGACAGTCTAGGTGCTTCTCACTTTAGATGGCAGCCAAGGGTGACTTGCCACATGGAAGGTGGCAGAGCGTGGACTCAGATCGGTGCTTCTGCCCTCACACTTGGCACCAGTTGGGTCCGTGTTCCCCAGGGAGGAGGATGCGCCCAGCTAGGCAGGGCAGAGCGAGGGCCAGGGGAGCTGGGGGCTGGTGTGGTGGCCGTGAGTTGGGTGGACAGAGCCCTCTCCCATGCTGTTTCATTCTTGGCCTTCAGGGGGCAGTGAGGAGCCCAGGTTTGGCTTTGCAGGTGCCGGCTCCTGATGACTCTGAGCTGTTTCTTCTTTAGCAGGTGAACTGAGTGAGGCCGAGGAGGAGACTGTGCTGCTGTGACAGTTGCTACCACGGCTGACGGTGGAGGGGACCTTGGCTGTTCTGAGATATTACTCTGGCCACTTACTTATACCCCGTGGCCCTTCTCAGCCGTGGCTGCTTTCTCCACAGCTGGGCACTGAGCCTCCGGCTGGCTATGAACATGCAGCCCTCTGACCTTGGCCGTCATCCAGCCGTATGATTCTGCACGCCTTGGCGTGGCTCATTCCGAGGCTTCCCAGACTAAGCATGAGTCGTTGAGGGAGATAATGGCCCCAGAGGTCAGAGGATTAAGCAGAGCCTTGGCAAAATCTATGTCATGGGAACTGGGAGTGTGTCTGACATGATCTTATCAGATGGCTTATGCAAATGTCTCAGAAAGGTCTGCCAGGCCAGCGTGCCAGTGACAGGGTTCCATGTTGTAAATCGTGTGCATGGCTCCGTGTGACCCCACGAGGGCCGTCTGCCTCAGCACAGGCAGTGAGTGGCCTTGTGCCTCTGGAAGAGGTTTGTTCTCTGTCTCGTGACGGTGCTGCAGTGGCGGGAGTGGCCTTCGCGTCTCGTGCCTTCCGCTGCAGCCCCATAGGGATGGGTGGGCTGTTTTGATCTCCCCCCCCCACCCCCTACCCCCATGTGCAGAGGCGCACGGAAACCTGGTGTGACCAGTCTCTGTGATGGACGGTGATGGTGGCCAGGATAGCATGCCTTCTCAGGGGAGGGCGTGTTCTGCCAGGGACCAGGCACGGCTTGAAGTGCCATTCTCTTATCTCATCCTCGTCCTCCTTCTATGGAGGGCAGCAACCCCGAGCCCTCATTTTAAAGTGGAGGAGCAGACGCATGGAGACTGGAGCCTCCCCGCTTGGCTACCGGGATGCACAGCCCTCGGCGGTGAGGTGTTGGTGGCGAGCCTGTGCTCTAGGCACGGCTCTCCGCTCTAGGCCGCCGGCACAGAGACTGCTGCTTTCTGGAGGCCCAGATGCATCTCCCTTCTCCCTCCTCGTCCCCTGCGTTAGCGCTGCATTTAGAGATGGACTGATCAGCTCTATTGCACGCGCGCGCGCACACACACACACACACACACACACACACACGTATCCCAGTCCCCATTGCTGACCCTGAGGCTCGGACCAGCATGGCGTCCAGGTTGCCAGGTTAGAAGCAGGGCCTTCCGTCTCCAGTCTTGGGAGTCACAGAGGGGTGGCCCCTGTAGAATACCCGGTGGCTGTGAGAGACAGCCCTCTGATGACGCTTATGTCCTTTCCTTGGGTTTGACATTGTGTCACCCTGGGCTTCAGTTGTCCCAGAAGCCCAGATATACTCAGATCTCACTGCCCCCTGCTGGCCAGGTATTCTGAGCCCCTGCACAGACCTTTGCTCAGGAAATTCAAGATCCAGGCTTCTTCCTGGATCTGGTTAACCCCCCCCCCCCCCATGCTGGCGGGAGACACATCAGCTCAGCCAGCTCAGCCTGGGCAACAGTCTTGATCTGCCTTTGGTTGAGGCAGTGCGTGGGGAGTCAGTGAAATGGAGTGTGTGGAGACAGCGCCCTGCCCAGAGTCCTGAGGGTGATGGTGTCCGAGCCTGCTTGCTCTGGCTTTCCCCAGCTTGCTGCTGTGCTCACTGCAAGCAGCAGAGGCCAGTGGTGACCCAGCGACGAAGCCCTTCCGACAACCATCAGCGCCTCTTCGTGCCAGCGTCCTCCTGCCTGGCCTCTGCTGCTTGCATTTGGTAACCCTCCTTTATAAGTTAGCCAAGGAATTGCTCTCCAGCTGGAATGAGGGCCAGCTCTGGGCCCAAGTGCTGGATTTGTTGTGGCTTGCACATGGGTCAAAGCCGGGGTTTCAGGAAGGTCACACATCTCTGTGACCTTGAAGTCATCTGCACACCGTATGCAGAGATGTGCGCCTTGAGCGTGAGCCAAGTGACTTCGAGCAGTTGCCCGTGAGGCAGGGTGAGCTCACTGGGTGGGTGACGTTTGGGCACCCCCTGCGCCCGCGTCTGCATGGGAGCCACACATACAGAGACTGGAAAGCTCCTGTGTAGTCTTCCAGCCAGGGTTCAAGTTCACATTGCCCCTGTAGATCTGACTTCCTCAGCCTTAGAACCACTCACGTGGAGGGCTGGGCTGCTCTCTCTGGCCTGTCCTGAAGTGGTGTGGGCCTGAGCCTACCACTGACTCCTTCCTGACAGGGTCAGCTTCCAGCTTCAGAACCGGGCCTGTGAATGTCTTAGGGGACAGTGGGGTACATAGAGTTGGTCCTGCTTGGGGTGGTCAGTGTTGATGGCCATTGGCCAGGAAACCGGATCCTAGGCTAAGGCAGAGCCAGTAGATGGAAGTTTCGGGAGACACTCGTGGATTGCTTTCCCGAAGGTCCTGCATTAAAGGCTTATTATCGTTGCTGTGCAGGTATGGGGTGAGCGCGTGCGCATGCGTGTACATGTGTTTGTGTGTGGTGTGTGCCTGTCTGTCTGCCGCACAGCGGAGGTGGGGGGGGGTCCTGCTCTATCAGTTTCTCCTTCATTCCCTCGTACTTGTTGCTCTTTGGCTGGGCTGACAAGTCAAGTCAGCCCGCAGGCTCTTCCCTCTCCACCACCCCCTCCATGCCCACCCCCCAGCGCGGAGGTGACAGCTTTTTTTTTACCTGGGTGCTGGGGACTGGAACTCAGGGCTTCGTGCTTGCATGGCTAGTACTCTTATGCACCGAGCCACCTCCCCAGCCTCTGGCTTGTTTCGAACCGCCTCTTTGCACGATGCTGGTTTGATTTTTCTCAGCTCTCTGCCGGCCCTGTGAGCAGGGGTAGCAGGACGACTTAGCTGTCAGCAGAGCCTGCCAAGTCCAGCTTCTTAGAGGCAACGTTGTGAGAGCCATCTCCGGTTCTGCCACTGTGGGCAAGAAATGGAAAGCCGGCCCCTAGGCAGTGGTGTCTGTTTGTCTTTGAAGGTGAAGGCGTCAGGACAGGCTCACTGAGATGATTTATTAATCTGCTTACCCCGCCAGAGAGGAGCCTTGGCCAGTGTGCGTGTGAGAGAGCTGTTGGCGGTGACTTTCTTTGCGGGGGGGGGGGAAGACTTGATGGGCCTTGACTCAGACTTTTAATCACGCTGCTGTAGTTGACACTCGGAGTTTTCTCCTCAAAATGCATGACGCTATGCTAATTAAATCGTCCTGGTTTGGAGGTCTGTTCACAGGTGTCACTCAGTCATGTGCTGTCTGGGATTTTGCCCAAGCCTTTTGCGTGCTGGAAAGGCTGGGGTGGTCGGGGGTGGGGGGCCAGGGAGAGTGTGCTTCTAGGCCCAGGTGATCCAGACAAACAGCGGAGCTGAGCTTGTGTTTGTGTGTGCATCCCTGGGAGGGAGGCGTTTGCTTCCCCAGTTTCTCAAAGCTCTTTGCTCCTGAGCAATGCAAGCATTTCTGTAGCTGCCCAGCCCGCCCTCTGTAAAGCCTCTGGGCCTTGGACTTGTTGAAGGCTGAAGTGTCTCCCGGGTTCCTCATGACTTCTTTAGCATGGTTCGCATAGGGGAAGGACAGACAATAAATGATGTTTGGGAAAGAGCACATTCTGAGCCAGGAATGAGGCCGATGGGACTGAACCCGGATCATCTTCCTCCAGCCTGTTACCATCAGGCTGGCTCTCTGATGAAAGATGCTGGAGCTGGCTGAGACAGGAAGCTCTGTTCTGGGCATTGCCCCCCCCCAAAAGGTAACTGTCTTGGCGGCAATGGCGGCAATGGCGGCAATGGCGGCATGTTGTCCTTGGTTTTCTGTTCTTGGGCTTGCCCCACTGCTCAGGTGGAGCAGTTTCAAGGTGACCTCCAAGATGGGCAGTGCCTACTGCTTCCTGTGAGAACGTAAATGTTTGTTTTAGTGCCGAGAGAGAAGGAGGGTGGGACCCATAAAACCAGTGCATGCGGGCGTAAATACACGGGCGAGGCAGTGACAGGTTCAGTGGCCCAGCAGGGCTCTGCAGAGCCTGATGCATATTTCTGCTCCGTCCAGCCACCTGTCAGCTCTAAGTGGTCATTATTTCATCATTCTGCAATAAAAGATAATAGAATAACAATTTATAGTTTGTGGCTGATGTTTTAACGCAACCCTCCGTTATCCTGGCTGACAGTCTGTGATTACAGTAAGCACTTTCTGGGTGACACCATGGTAATGACTCCTTAATAGGCGTGTTAGCCCGAATCTCCATCACAAGGCACTGGCCGGCCTCAGCCCTGCCTGGCCTGGCACTGTCTGCAGGGGGCGTCTCTGTGCTCAGCTGTGGGGCTAGACACCCAGACACTGAAAGGTGGTGGCATATGGAAGCCGGGGCTACTCCTCAGGGCGTGGACATGAGGCTCCATGATTGGCAAGCCCAACCCCTAGCTCCACCTCTGTCTCTTACGCTTGAGCTGTGGTCAGTTAGAACCGAAAACAGGTGCATCGAACCAGGTGCATGTGTGTGTGTGTGTGTGTCTGTGTGTGTGTATATATGTATGTGTGGTGTGTGTGTGTGTGTGTGTATGTGTATGTCTGTAGTATGTGTGTGGTGTGTATGTGTGTGGTGTGTGTATGTGTGTGGTGTGTGTATGTGTGTGGTGTGTGTGTGTCTGTGTGTGTGTGTCTGTAGTGTGTGTGTGTGTGTGGTGTGTGTGGTATGTGTGTGTGTGTGTGTGTCTGTGTGTGTGTATATATGTATGTGGTGTGTGTGTATGTGTATGTGTGTGTCTGTAGTATGTGTGTGTGTGGTGTATGTGTGTGGTGTGTGTGTGTCTGTAGTGTGTGTGTGTGTGTGGTGTGTGTGTGTCTGTAGTGTGTGTGTGTGTGTGGTGTGTGTGTGTCTGTAGTGTGTGTGTGTGGTGTGTGTGGTGTGTGTGTATGTGTGTGTATGGTGTGTGTGTATATGTGTGTGTGTGGTATGTGGAGGCATGTTTATATGTGTGTACACATATTGTGTGGGTGTATACATGTGTCTGGGTGCATTGGGCAGCCTTAGGTTGACATTGGAAGTGTGGCTTGGTCCGTTGAACCCAAACAAGAACTAGGGCTAGCTTCTCCCACTTTACTCACTGAGGTAGAGTCCCTCAACCAAACCCAGAGCTCACTGATATGGCTCATCTCGCTGGCCAGCTTGCTTTGGGGATCCCATGTCTGGCTTCCAGGGTTGGAATTGCAAGCGGGCAGTCACACCCTCCTGGTGTTTGGTATGTTTCTGGGATATGAGCGCCACTTCCCTAGCTTGCACCTCCGCAGCCTGTGATGCCGCCGTGTTCCCCTCGCCCCCCCCCCCCGTGCCTGTGAGGGTCTGGAGAGGAGAGCGTCTGCCCCCCGTGAGGGTCAGAGCGTCTGCCCCCCCCGTGAGGGTCAGAGCGTCTGCCCCCCGTGAGGGTCAAGCGCCCCCCCCCCGTGAGGGTCAGAGCGTCTGCCCCCCGTGAGGGTCAGAGCGTCTGCCCCCCCCCCCGTGAGGGTCAGAGCGTCTGCCCCCCCCCGTGAGGGTCAGAGCGTCTGCCCCCCCCCGTGAGGGTCAGAGCGTCTGCCCCCCCCCCCCCCGTGCAGCACCTTGCCTGATACCGCCTCCCTCAGCGCCTCTGCTTTCTCTCACAGCCTTTCTACTTCCACACGACCTTGAACCACCCGAACATCGTGGCTGTGGTAGAAGTGGTCACTGAAGGCAGGAAGAGGGATGGCTCCCTGCAGGTGCTGTCCTGTGGGTTTGGAATTCTTCGCATCTTTGGCAATAAACCAGAATCTCCCACCTCTGCTGCCCAGGACAAACGGTACCTTTTCTCTTTTCCTCTCTCTCTCTCTCGATTTAATTATTCTTTATTTTATGTTTGTAACAATGTCTGGTGCTGATTCTAAGTTAGCCCAAGGGTTGTTCTTTTCTTGGAGCGAGAGCCAGCTCTGGGCGAGTGTTGGGTTGGATCCGGCGTGTACACGGGCCCAAGGCCTGATCTGTCGCCTGCACTGTGTGGGATTTTATGCAGGCTTACCCACTCACCTGTGCACGAGAGCCAGCCGTGTGACGTAAACTATGTGATAGCCATCATTCAGCAGGTGACAGTGCCTGTTACACAAACTCCGACCAGGGTTCAAGCTCACACTGTACCGCTCTGGATCTGAGTTGCTCGTGTTGGAGCCGCTCACTCAGGCATGGTCACTCTTCACCGTGGAGCCATCACGTGCGCTGTAGGATTCTTGGCAGTGCCCACGGCCTCCATCAACAGATGCCAGGAGCAGTCTCTGCTCAGTGTGTTAACTAGATACACCCTGCAGACATGCCAGACACATGCATGGGAATGCCATGCCTGGGTGAAGATGTGGCTCCAGGAAGGGGGCTGGATACTGTCTTCCGGGGACTTCTCAGTTAGGCTATTTCTGTTGCTTTCTAGCTTAAATTATTATTATTATTATTATTATTATTATTATTATTATTATTATTATTGTGTGTGCATGTGTGCGCCCCTGGAGGCCAGAAGAGGGCTAGAGTTATATATAGGTGGTCGTGAGCCCACCGACATGGGTGCTGGGAATCGAACCCAGCCTCTCTGTAAGAGCATCTCACTTAGCCGCCTCCCCCAGCTCACCTTGTAGCTTCTTCTGTCTTTCAGGTTGAGGCTGTACCACGGCACCCCCAGAGCCCTTCTGCACCCACTTCTCCAGGATCCCATAGAACGTAAGAGCCCAGCCCGGTCTTGGCATGTATCTCCACGTCCCGACTTTCCCGAGCGCTCCCTACCTCGCCTGGTGTCATTCCTCAGGAAAACAATCCATCTGCTCACGGCGTGGGTTCTGAATTTCTGGGTCTCAGCTCTTTGCCTGGAAACCCTCTCGGTTTTAGCCCCTGTCTGGTGCTCCTCCCCCCAGAGAGCCAACACCTGACAGTGATGGGGAACTCTAGCTTGCAGTACACCCTGAAGCCACACCCACCCCTGGAGCCAGCCTTCCACCTGCTCCCCGAGAATCTCCTGGTGTCTGGCCTCCAGCTGATCCCTGGCCTCCTGCCTCCTCACGGGGACACAGGTGAGCTGCCCTTGGATCTCGCCACTGGGAGCCCGGGTTGGCTCGGGCTCAAACCTCGGAGGACCTGGGTTCGCCCTGACGGGTGAAGGTGGCTGGGCTGCCCTCATGTGCCTTGGTAGCTGAGCAGTGTGCCCTGGTGGCGTGGTGGGAGGAGGAGGTGACGGTGAGTGACACCCATCGCTCAGTCCCACTCTGAGGAAGCGTGTCATAGCCTCCAGCCTGCTCACCACCTTTCCCTGAGAAGTGCTATCACGCCCACGCTTCCTGTCCCCACGGCTAAGAGTAAACATTGTCCCGTCCACCCTTGACCCTGCAGAGAAGGCCACCACCAGCAGCTTTGTGTCCCCGAGCCTCCGGCCGCTTTGCTGTGCAGTCTCTTCAGTGCAATAGTGAAGGTGTACTCCCTCCAGCCCCGGCCCCCTGAAGGCTGGGAAACAGCGAGGCGGCAAAGCCACGCTTCAGACTCTGGCCTGCAGACTCCAGAGCCTGCAGAGTCACAAGACATGGCCCAGAGATGGTTTCTCCACAGGGATTCCCAAGCCCACCCAGCCTCCTTAGTCCTCTACGATCTGTGCTAGAAGGTTCCACCCTGCCACGGTGGCTTTTGTGCTTGGGGTCTTCTTCCTTGCCGCTGTGCCGAGCAGGGTCATGGTTACGGTCCTGGCCCTGGGCCCTTGATGGGTTTGGCCATGGGGCTGTGCTTCCTTTCCAGCCCAGGCCCCTTCCAGGAGTACCAGGCTCTGCCACCATCTCAGCTCCTACCAACGGAGCCTTCTCCTGTGCTGTTGCCGTGTAAGGTTGGGTTATGTGGCACCAGGGTGATCCCTCCAGAGGAACTGGTTGTCACCCACCATTGCCTTAGCTGTGTTGTTGAAGAGGCACGTAGCGAGGGTCACAGTACATGTGTAGGTTTGTTCTCAGGATGGGCTCCAGCGTAACAAATGTGGGTGACAAGGTTGTTGGCGTGCTCGGCTCTGGAAGGATCCAGTATGCTTCCTGCTTTTAGGTTCTCTGTGTCCCAGCTGCCCATCCACTGAAATGGCTTTTCAGCCCTCAAACTGTGGCTCACAGTATTTCCGCACCATCCCTGGCGTGTGCTTGCACACGCAGTGAACGTCCTCGGGCAAGGTGGTTCAGGGGACACTCCCTGCTTACCCGAGGGCCTGGTCAAGACCACCAGCCATTGGGGATGGCACCTGTTGCTAGAGTGGCCTCTGGTGAGCCCAGCCCTGTGATCTCTTGCTGAATGACAGTAGTCCTCTGGGACTGGCCATTTTGTCAGATGTCTGCATACATGTGTCCTTCCCAGGAGCAGAGATGGGTTGTGTGCTGATGGGACATTCACAGTGGGTCCCTGGGGTGGCTTGCACAGGAGGGCCTTCTGTGGGAACTTGGCTCCCACTGCAGAGTGTGTGTGTGTGTGTGTGTGTGTGTGTGTGTGTGAGAGAGAGAGAGAGAGAGAGAGAGAGAGAGAGAGAGAGAGAGAGCTGGTTCAGGTCCACAAGCAAAGTTGGGGTCCATTCCGAGCTTGGTTCCCAATCCTTCTCTCATTTCAGTTACACTCCTAAAAAATGTTCCCTGCCCTCGTAAGCGGGTGGAGGGTTTTGGCCAGACCCCGCTCTTCTCCTATGGGCTGGCCTGCTCTGGTTACCGGTCTTTGGGTGGTCTGGCGGAGGGATGAGAGAGGCTCCTGTAACAGCTGCAGCATCTCTGCTCAGCTCCTCGCTGGGCTCTGTGCTGTTAAGTTCTGGCAGCTGGGGCCTCTGTTTCCTGTGACTGGCCTGAGCCAGGCCCTCTGCTTGCCTGTGCTGCTGGACATGGGTGCAGCCTCTGGAGTGGCCCTCTCTTCTTCCCCCATCCCCATCCTGCCTCCCTTGTAGCCCACCTGAGCTTGGTTCTGTCCTCACTGTGGACCCCACCTTGGCTTTCCCCCGCTTGCACCGAAGCCTGTGCCCGATGAACTTTGGAATGTCCCATGGCCCAGAGCCGGCCCACCATCTGCCCTGGGCAGTGTATGCCTTGTGAGGGCAAGGAGGATGTGGACGCAGAGTCGGGTCAGCACTGTGAGAAGGCTTGCATGCTATCCTTGCTTAGCTGTGTGGTGGCCTGAGGTGCAGCAGCACTTTTTCTATCCAGTGATAAGGACAGTAAATGATAGGAGCTGGGCATTGCTAGCCAGTCCTTCTGAAATGTCCAATGGGCAGTGGCCACAGGAGCTGCTCGGTGCCCCAGGGGCCCTTAGGAAATGTGTGTGTGTGTGTGCGTGTGAGAGTGTGTGAGTGTGTGTGAATGTCTGTGTGTGTGAGTGCGTGTGTGTAAGTGTGAGTGTGAATGTGTGTGAGTGAGTGTGAGTGTGAGAGTGTGTGAGTGTGCCTGTGAGTGTGCCTGTGAGTGTGCCTGTGAGTGTGCCTGTGAGTGTGTGAGTGTGAGTGTGAATGTGTGTGAGTGTGAATGTGTGTGAGTGTGAGTGTGTGAGTGTGAGTGAGTGTGAGTGAGTGTGAGTGTGTGAGTGTGAGTGAGTGTGAGTGTGTGAGTACGTGAGAGTGTGTGAGTGTGTGTGAGTGTGTGTGAGTGTGTGTGAGTGTGTGTGAGTGTGAATGTGTGTGTGGGGGCTGGGTGTGTGGGTGCCTTGAGTGTTCTGGTACCCGGGAATCTGGTAGACACATGGTGAGTAGTTCCAGTGGCATCAAGGCTGTCAGTGGGGGCTCAGTGTAGAAGGAGTAGTTGTCATCTTTCACCAGATACGCAATCCAGACTGTCACCCGTGCTGACAGCGAGGCTGGGGTCAGATACGCAATCCAGACTGTCACCCGTCCTGACAGCGAGGCTGGGGTCAGATACGCAATCCAGACTGTCACCCGTCCTGACAGCGAGGCTGCGGTGGGTCCTTCCTGTCTGCCGTGGAGTCATGTGGCTCTGTCTGTCTGTGGCCTGCTCTGTGGTCAGGGTCTGAGTGGCACACTGCTTTCCAGCCTGTGGTGAGGACGCCGTCCCGAAGAAGTGCTGAGGTTGCTCGGAGCACGCCCCGGCCTGCGCCTCTGTGAACAGAATTAATTAATTTGCGGGACACAGTAGTCTGCTGAGTAGAGAGGACAGAAGGGAGTCTGCAGACGGTTACATCCATCTCTCGCGTTCCTCTTCCGGCCCCAGCTCCCTCCCTTTCCCTCTCTCTATTATTGTCTGGCCCAGGTTTGCTGGAGTGGCCTGAGTGCTGGCCGTGCCTCTATGCCCACCACAGGCCCCTGCCACCTCCTCGCCTCATCTTCCTAGAAGCTTTACAAGGAGCAGCCGCACGGCGCAGTGCAGCCACACGGCAGCCTCTGTCTCTGTCGTCAGGGCAGCAGGGTCCTAGGGCTCAGGGGACTCCACGAGGACAGCGCTTCTTCCCCTGCCCTCTGGCTGCAGTGTAGGGGGTCCCCAAGTCAGGTGACACCAGATTTTCACCCGGACATTGCTGGGTACAACTTAGTGGTAGTGTTTGCCTACACAGATGAGGCACTAGGCTGATCCCCATCGAAACACGTATGCATCCTTACACATGTGCAGACACATGCACACACGTGTATACACATGCAGTGTACCCACGTGCACACCAGCATGTGAATGCATCTCCATCAACGTTTTCCACTGGAAGGTTCAGTGGCATCAGACACACTCGCGCTGCTGTGAGGCGGCGGAGCTGGCACGGAAGCTTGCCCCACATGGCTGACCCTCCCGCAGGAGGCCATGGTGCCCTTCTGATGGCTTTCTCGGCACCAAGTGTTAGCTTGGCTCTTTCCCCCTCTCCCCTCCATCTACCCCTCCTCTCTCTCTCTCTCTCTCAGCAGGAGGGAGTGAGTCTAGGCTGTCCTCTCTGTCTTTGAAACGGGTTCCTAAGACCCCCACGGCCTTCCATCTAAGTGTGCAAGTGGTCACCTTCCCTGTCCCCTGGAGGCCCCAGGAGGTGCTTCTGGGTCAGGGCAGAGGGTTTTCTTGTGGCACCTGTGGGCGTACTTCGTCCAGCGTCTGTAGCATGCACACGCACATCCCTGCGTGCTTCACATGCTTCAGGGCCGCGGAGTAACGCGAGAGGCCGGAGAGCTGGCGTGGTCCTGGTGAAGCCGTAAGTGTCAAAGCAGGATCGAGCAGCGCTGGGTGAGCTTGGTTGAGCCCACCTTGCCCTGCAGGGGTTCTGACGTGCTGTCTGAGCAGCTCTTGCCTGCAGGTTCCAATCGCTGTGCCCGGTTAGGACCGGTGGGAGTGTGGAGTGTGGCCTCCGCTTCCCCCACGAGGATAACCTGAGCTCTCTTCCCGCTCCAGGGGATGCCCTGCGGAAGCCTCGCTTCCAGAAGCCCACCACGTGGCACTTAGACGACCTCTTCTTCACCCTGTACCCCTCCCTGGAGAAGTTTGAGGAGGAACTTGTGGAACTGCTCGTCAGCGACCACTTCCGGGAGGTATTTCTTAGCTCACCTTGCTGCAGCTTAACCTGGACAGGGACGGTGCCTGTGCCCACCTCCTGGGCTTCCTTCCGGCAGATCTGTGCGTGGCCTTTACCCAGGCCTCTCCAGAAGCCACTGCTTTACTTTCTCCCATGTCTATGACCCGGGGCAGCTGGCCCTCCTCTCTGATCAGGGATGTCCTCTGTCCCCTCGTTCCCTCTTGGGATCATTTGCCCCATGAAGATGAGCTGTTTGCTCACCACACCATGTGACGCGTGTTAACGGTGTTTGGTGTAGTGTAGGCTGTTCAAGTGGGCGACGCCATTGATTCCATTTTGTTAATAATAATAATAATAATCAACTAGTTATTAATGAGGTGTACCTATGGATGAGGGGACTCATTGGCTCTGTTCCCTACGGTAGGTAAGTATAGGGCTGAGAACAGAGTCAAGCGGAACCCACATTCTGCCTGCGGTTCCTGCTGCCGTCTTACTTTGCTGTAAGAACAGCTCTGTCGGGCTTGAGCTGGTCTCACAGATAACTGTGGAGGGACTTTTTCTACTGCCTTACTATCCTTTGCCACCTATCTCCAGTGTTTTATTTTTGTAACTAGCAGGCCGAGGTTTGTCCCGTTCAGCCTGATTAATGGTCAGTGAAAACAAGATCAGCTAGTAAACGGCACATAATTTCACAAACCCTGCAATCAAGAGGGACACCTGTCTGTCACTGTGCCGTGCATTTCTCGCTGAGCCGGGAGGGATACCTTCCGTTTGCTAGGGTCCCTGCCTTTCTCGATAACATGGAGGTCTGCGGTGTCCAGCCGTGGCTTTGGAGCAGACTCCATGTCTATCAGCTTTAACATTTGTTGCCTGAGCCCGAATCCTCTTCCCACCCCGCTTTCCCCCTGAGAGACAGAGCAGAACCCGGGTGTGTTCTGCCCCTGGGTCCCTCTCCATCTTTACGGTGCTCATCTCAGGCAGGTGGCGCCCAGGCTCCCGAAGGATCTGAGGCCCATGCATTCAGGTTGTCGTGTCTTGAGAATTGTCAGCTGAGCTGAGGGGTCTGTGTTTCGGTGTGTGCTGCCCGGGGAATGTCACGCTGCTCGGGAAATACCTAATGTAGCTGGTGTGCCCGTGGCCAGTGGTTACCACTGTCCTGCATCTGCATTTGAGTGGGTTTGCTCTGGGGATTGTGTAGACCCCCGCCTTGGCCCGCCCAGTCTGTTCTGGCCACTCCCTTCCCAGGCATGTAGGACCCTTTGTCTGTATCCCGTGTCTCTTGTAGGGGGTCAGCCTGCTGGAGGGCGGCACACTAGAGGTCCTGGAGAGGCGCCTGCACGTCTGTGTCCACAACGGCCTGGGCTTCGTGCACCGGCCGCAGGTGGTTGTGCTTGTACCCGAGATGGAAGTGGCCTTGACACGCTCGGCCAGCTTCAGCAGGCGAGTCAGCGCCTCTTCTAAGAGCAGGTATCTCCCTGTGCTGGGCGGGGGCTGAGGGGGAAATGATGCTGAGCATGCAGAGGTTGCTTGTCCTGTGGGTGCCTCCCCATTACCTCTCCCCTTGTGCTCAGTCACACCTATCAGGCAGAACCTCAGGGTTGGACGCTTAGGAGGGAAAGCCCCTGTTTTTGCTTTGGGGGTTAGAGCTTTAGACGCTTCCAGTCCAGGGTCTGAAGAACCCTTGCAAACCACCTGGATGGGCCCTGGGATTTTTTTTTCCCCAAAAGCTTCATGTCCTATTCTGTGTTGAATCCCATGTGCCACGCCCGGGCAGACATCACTGTAGGGTGTGCCGAGGTCAGCTGTCAGTGCTGGGAAGGAAGCTCTGTGGCCACTCTCAGTGACATGATTGTCTCCCCACGCAGGCTTCCTCTGCAAGTCTGGAGGTGTTGCTGGTGGTAGACACAGTGAACACTGTAGGCTGAACAGAGCAGACCCATGGAGCCCCTGAACTGCTGCTGCTCACTGTGGGGAGGGGACCCCCAGTGGGGGCGGGAGCCCGTGTTCCAACAGCTCTTGGTTTGTGTTTCCGACCAGCTCTGGAAACCAGGCTCTAGTTTTGAGAAGCCGCTTGCGACTCCCGGAGATGGTCAGTCACCCAGCATTTGCCATCGTCTTCCAGCTGGAGTACGTGTTCAGCAGCCCGTCTGGGGCGGATGGCAGTGTGAGTCGTCTCCCTTTGGTATCCGCTTTCATGAGGTTAGCTTTGTGCTGAGAGGGGGGACTGGCGGGCACCAGTGTCCCTTCTACAGTAGAAGCCTTGGTAACGGCACGGCCCGTGGGGCTAGGAACAGTCTCATCCTGCTCTCATGGTCTTGGTGGGGATCGGACGTTCTGCGATGGTAGGACACGGCCCGGGAAGCTGCATGCATCATAACAGCTTTAACTCATAATTACCGAACCGGTAATTGTCTTGAAAAATGAGGCTGTTTTACCGTATTTTTCACTTGCTATAAAGTGTAGTAAAGCTTGAATGGGCGTGAGTGATAAAGGGCTTCTTATAGTGAACCTCACACGAGCCTACATCATAATTAAGGGTAAGGGTTTGTAGTTTTGGTTGAGAGCCGTGCAGCGGGGAGACGGCGTTCGGGCGGGCGCCGTCCCTGGGAAGCAGGTCATGCTGTCCTTAAGATTCAGTTTCTGTTTGGAGAAGACTGGGTCGTTTAGCAGCTGATGCAACGGAAGGCCGACGGGACACGGAGGCAGGGGCCTTCCTTGGCCGCCAGCTTTCTGAGGAGGCCCGTTGAGTCCAGGGCAGGGAGGGGGTTGGAGCCTGTGCCCACCATCTTTGCCGCTGCGTCCCTGACCCCCACGTCTTGCGCTCACACCGGGCCTTCCGGAGGCCGGCCTCACGCCTTGGCCACCTCGGTGGACAGCTTATCGCCCGCTGCCTGCCGCCGTGTTTCTCACCAGGCGCTTTACCACAGGTGCACATGGGTGTGGGGAGTCGTGGGTGGGTGGGCCGTGGGAGAACCGTGGGGTGCTGCCAGACAGCAGGTGCTGTGCCCAGTGTGACCTGAGCACTTGGGAGGCAGAGGCAGGGGGAACAGGTGTTCAGGGCCTTCTTCAGCTGTGTACAAGTTTCTGGCCAGCCCGGGCTATGTAAAACCTACCCATGGCATAGCCTTGCGCACAGGCTCTACCGGCCAAGGAGGGGCGTGGCCAGTGCTCTCAGGGACGTGTGTGTGTGTGTGTGTGTGTGTGTGTGTGTGTGTGTGTGCGCGCACGCGTACGCGTGCGTGTGTTGCGTGTCTGTGTGCCCGTGCCTTCAGGCGAGGAGGCCTGAAGTTTACCACGGGAGTCTTTCTCCATCATTCTCCACGTTGTCTATCCAGCAGGGCCTTTCACTGAACCCAGAGCTCAGCAATCCTGGCTAACCCGGGCAGCCAGCCTGCCCTGGCGACCCTGTCTCTGCTTCCTAGGTGCTGGGATAGCCGGTGTCACCCGCCACGCCTGCCCCTGCCTTTTCATGGCTTCGGGGAATAAAAGCCCCTGTCCTTAATCTTGCCCAGAAAACGCTTCCTGTCTGGAGCTCTCTCCCTACCCTCTGAATGCATTTTCCTTTTTATGGAAAACGGACACACAGACAGGGCTGCAGAGGGGTGCCTGATGATCCTCGTGTCCCATCGCCAGCTTTGTGTTTACCACTCTGGGCCCCGACTCATCTGTCCTTCCTCCCAGACTACTTGAGAGCACATGTAATCCTTTAGTCGTTTTCTGCAAATAGCTGGCTCGGCTCCTCACCTCCTCACTGTGGGTGCCACCACTGCATGGGAGGGTCAGCCGGTTTATTCGGCTCACACTTCCACAATACAGTTCATCGCTGAAGGAAGTCAGAGCGGGGACTCAAGCAGGGACCTGGAGGCAGGAGCTGATGCAGAGGCCATGGAGGGTGCTGTGTACTGGCTTGTTCTTTGTGGGTTCATCAGCCTGCTTTCTTACCGAGCTGAGAAACAAAGGCCCAGGGCGGCCCCACCCACAATGGGCTGGCCCCACCCCCACATCAGTCTCTAATTGAGAAAATGCCCTACAGGCTGGGCTTGCCTGCAGCCTGACCATATGGGGTCCTTTTCTCTATTGAGGTACCCTTCTCTCAGATGACTCTAGCTGACATAAAACTAGTCAGCACACGCACCAATATCTGGCTAGCTAGCCATCTTGCTCCTGGGATCTGCCCCCGCCTTCTGAAGACAGGCAGGCCTCCACACCCACCCGTTTGTGTGGTTTCTGGGGACCCGAACCCCTGACCTCTTGCCTCTGCAGCAACCGTCTCCCCAGCCGCCATCTGTGCAGCTTCTGGGCCCTACTCAGTCTTCACAGGTGGCGGCCACTCCGGTCCACCACCTCACCCTCACCTCTGTAACCAGGGCAGCCTCTCTTGCTTCTTTCCGCCCCGACAAAGGAGCTGGAGTTTTGCTAGCCCACTAGCCAATCAGGAGGGATGTTGTAGGCCGTGGAGCTTGCTTTCATGGCTCATGTCCGTGATTAGAAATAACTACTGTGCTTAGTTGAATGAGCTGAAAACATCGCCTGATAAATGATCACCGCCAGTCACCGTGATCACATCGTGGGTCCGGTCATACATGGGAGAGCGGACGATTTTAATCATGGGCTGTGAGGGTTCCTCTGCCACCGCGGATGCATTTGAAGGGAATTAGCTGGCAGTAGCTGCCAAGTTCACCGCCCGTCGCATTTGCTAGGTTGTGGTGTGAAATTGATGCTGCTTGGTCAGGGGCCCTCTGCTAGAGGGCTGGCAGGGAGGAGGGGTGAAGGTTCACGCTCTCACTACCTGTTTCCAGGACCTGTCGCCGTGCGTCTTAAGCCTTGTGAGGTTTGACTCAGTAGCCCAGAACTTAGGTCCTCTTTGGAGGAGCGGCGGGAAACACACTTTCTGAGGTGATCTGGCCTCAGGCTGTCTGAATCTGTTCGTGCTCTCCCGTGTGGTTGGGCGGTGGGCTCTGGGTTCTGCCTCCCGTACTGCCTGTCTGGGTCTCACGTCTGCCTCCTAGGTGTAGGCTACGGGTTAGACTGCGAAGGACAGAGGCTTCTCCTCCCACCTGAGCCAGATTGCTGGGGTCTGCACTGTGGCCTCCGCAGTGGCCTTGTGGCCTTCACAGTGCCCCATGCTTTCATGTCACCTCCCTTAGACATGTGACAACCTCCTAAGTCATCTTGCTTTGTGTGCAGAGGACACCTTGCCATTCCTTGGGTGCGAGCTGTGACTTGTGTGTGTGTGTGTGTGTGTGTGTGTGCGTGTGTGCGTGTGTGCGTGTGCGTGTGCGTGTGTGTGCGTGTGCGTGTGTGTGCGTGCGTGTGTGTGCGTGTGTGTTTTGCTGGCCTGGAACCCCAAATGGTAGGGCTGGCAGGACAGAAGTCCCCAGGGACCCCTCTCTGTGTCTTACCCCATCAGACCTGGGATTGTAAGGATGGGTTACCATGTGGTTCCCCTGACCCATTGGTTCTAGAGATCAAACTTAGGCAAGTGTTGTGCGGACAGCTTTCTCCCAGCACAGCTCTCTCTCTCTCTCTCTCTCTCTCTCTCTCTCTCTCTCTCTCTCTCTCTCTCTGCGTTTTGTGTCTTCTCTCTGTGATTGGGGTGATGAAGGAAGCATTCAGAGAGCAATCCACCATAGCCGTTGGGCTACTTGATTTGTGTTCAGCCACCCAGGAGCTCGATGTGGCCTCCTGCATCCAGGCTCCCATCTCTCTGGGCTCATCCCTGTGTCTGGAATTGGCCTCAGGGGCAGCAAGTGTGAGCACTGTCTGGGTGTTCCCCTCTCTACCCAGACAGGATGCCACTGTTACCCCTGTCTCAGCCAGTGGGGCAGAAGGGCCCAGCAGCTGATGCTCAGAAGCGGGCATGGTGACCTAGGCTGTAGAAAAGAGCCCTCCGCAAACGTCAGAGGAGATAAAGCCCCCGAGGGAGGAGTGTGGGGCCGCTGTCTTAGAGTGGCAGAGTTTATTGTCACACACCTCTGGAAGCCACAGCTCCAGTCAGCTCCACTGGGCACAGCAAAGTGTGGCAGGCATGTTCCTCTGGCGAGGTCCATCCCTTGCTCTTGCAGGCTAATCCTCTGCTCCCTCGGTGTCCATCTCCTCTCTGGTCTTCTGCTTCCTCGGTGTCCATCTCCTCTCTGGTCCTCGGTTTCCTCGGTGTCCATCTCCTCTCTGGTCCATTAGCCCATGGCTGTCTCTGTCCCTGAATGTCTATCTCTGGTTCTACCCTAGATCTCTTTCCCATTCTTGTCGCCAGCTTCCAGGTAGCTTGGCTACCCCAGATGAGCTCATCTCTCACGATGCCAGTCACATCTGCACAGGAAGCAGGATGGGACAGATGTCCTGTGAGCCACCACTCAGCCCCCGGCTGCCCTGGGCTGTAGTGTCCGGAGGTCAGGCTCAGAGTTCTGTCTGTAGCTTTGTTGACCCTGGCTCACGACCTGTCTGCTCTCCTTTGGCTTTTTATATTGTTTGCTACAGTCAAAAGTCTAAACGAAAACAGATAATTTCAGAGCACCTTGGACTTTCCCCTTTTTCTTTTGAGGCTGCGTGAATTCTCATCTAAATTTGGCAGAAAAAGAAACGAAAAAAAAAGAAGTCAGTAATCTCTTTTTATTTTTACTTTTAAGTTGGGGTTGTCCTATATTCCCAAGGCTGTCTCCTTGCCTCTCCTGCACTGTGGTACCCGCCAGCCTTTAACCCTAACCATGAGAACTCGGGTTTGCACTAGGCGCGTGCTTGGCTGTGAGTACTGAGGACTGGGAACAGGCCTGAGCAGGAGCCTCTGAGCCAGGCGGATGTGTGGAGCCGGCTGCCACCAGCCCCCAGTTATCGTGCCGGGGTCTCAGAAGTGATCAGTAGCTCACAAATCATCCCTCGCTGTTAAAGACAGAAGCGAGGAGAAGCTGGCGTTTATCTAACTGACAGATACTCCACACGGAATAGATCCATATTGATCGAGAACCAAACGACCACGGAGAACCGTGAAATTGGAAAATTAGATGTCAGGCTCACCTAATTCGAGAAACGAAGCCAGAAGGCGTTGCGCCAATCGCACGGACACTTGGATCCCTGCTTTATTTTTTGATCCTGCCTTGAGCGGCTGTTTACAGAAGCCATCCAGCTGCTGCTGAGTTTAGGGTGTTTTATTGGCGTTTATTGGCGAGTGCTCCTACTCCATGTGTAGTGATTGTACGCTGAGGGGAGTGGATCTGTCACCAGTACCGATTGACGCCCTGCAGCTACCCAGCTCCTTCCAGCGGAGGCCAGGGCAGGGGAGGGGGCCAGGGCAGGGAGGAGGCCAGGGCAGGGAGGAGGCCAGGGCAGGGCGGAGGCCGGGACATCCCCACCCCATGTGGTAGAGTCTGATGCTAAAGTTCCCACTTCCTGGATTCTTTGCTTATACTTCAGGGTTTTCTTGTCACCCGGTGGCCAGGAACCCAAATCCCGTTAAACCCGGCAGGGATGTGATCGTGGCAGCACCTAGACCCACCATCTGAGGCCTGACTGTGGGGAGGGACCTCCTGTGCCCTGCTGGTCGGCACAGTTCGAGGTCCAGTTGCTTAGCAAGACAGCAGTGAAGACCCCTGGTCTGGGGGTTTCCTCTCATGGATATAAAGGGCAGGGTCCCATCCCAGGAGCAGGGGCTGGGTCACTGTTGTTCAGCTCGGTCGGCCCTTGAGCTTGGCTGTGGTTTAGTGTAGCAGAGGCCATTTGGTGAGTGTGCCGCATCTGCCTGGGGCCCTGGTGCAAAGCTTCTGTTCTGCAACTCAGGTTCCATCCTTTGATTTCCCTGATGCATTTGACTAGCACTCAGCAAGTTTCCGTGGGTCTGTGGAAAGGTCTCGGAGGAGTGGCGGTGTGTAAAGTGGCCCTGAGCCACAGGAGAAGCCTGATGGGATATAAGCGTGGCCGGTCTCAGGACCGGTAGTTTGTACTGTGAACTCTGAGCTGAAAAGGTTATGTGTGATCACTCATTTCCCACCTCGATGGCTGCTGCCGTAACTCCTATGGCTGTGCTTTGTTTGCACTGCAGGCAGGCTCGTCCACCTCTATCTCCAGCTTGGCAGGCATGCACATGGTTCGCTGGGCTGTCTGGAACCCCGAGCTGGAAGCGACCTCAGGAAAGGTGACTCTGCCTCTTCAGGGTGGGATCCAGCAGAACCCCTCACGCTGTCTGGTCTATAAGGTGCCTTCAGCTAGCATGAGCTCTGAAGAGGTGAGTACTTCGGAAGTGTGGCTCTCACGTGCTTCTAGCGAGTGTGTGTGTGTGTGTGTGTGTGTGTGTGTGTGTGTGATACCACCTGAACTTAGAGCTTGCTGATTGGAGCTAGCATGCCTGGACAGTGCCCCCCCCCCCAGGGGCCCACCCGTGTCCCCCCTCCCCCCCTCCCCAGTTATAGATACGTGCTGCCACTCCTAGCTTCATGTGAATTCCCAGGATTGAACTCGGTCTTCACACCTACCGAAAGCATTGTACCCACGGAGTCTGAGTTCACTTACTTTAAGGCTCCGGATTGACAAGTATGTCTCCAGTCTTTCCTGAGCACAGCTTTCTGTGCCCAGAGTGTGCCCTTGGTGCTTGCTGAGCCAGTTTCATCTGGGGTTTGCTCACTCCCTTGCCCTGTTCACATATCCATCTCTGGATGCCTTGCTGGACCATTTTGTACACTTTGTGCATACTTTGGGAGGAGTTTCTCCTGCGCAGTTGGAGTGTCTGCGGTTGGTGCCTCAGAGGAGGACTCTGTGTGGTTTTTGCCAGGATGGTGAGTGTTGCGAGAACTAGGCAGGGATCTCGGACTTTAGACCCAGCACACACGGCTCTCAGCTGGATGTGGGGTGGCAGGTCCGCAGCAACTGTCAGGTTAAAAAGGCTGCTGCTCGCTGTGACATTCTCTGAGCTCCAACCTGGAAAGCATGTAAGGTCAGGAGAGGCTGAAGGGTGCGTGTGTGACCCTCGCCACCCCACCCAGGTTGTGGTTGTAAGGAGTAAGGTTTTTCCACCCGCCGCTGGTCTTGTCCCGCCGCCGCACCAGCCCCAATTAACACACCGAGACTCTGTATTTGATATAATGCTGTTGGCCAGGTATTAGTTTCTTATCGGCTAGCTCTGTCTTAAGTATTAACCCATTTCTGTTCATCTATGTATTTTCATATGGTCTCCTTACCCGGGGAATGGGGCCTGCGTTTGGTCTCCCGGTCTCTCCATCTTGACTCCTCCTTCCTACTTCCTCTTTCCTCCTTGTCTCCTAGTCCCGCCTATCTTCCTTTCCTATTGGCCAACAGTGCTTTATTCATTAACCAGTATGAGAAACAGATTTACAGAATGGCATCCCCCATCCTGTGGTCTTGGAAGTCAAGTGACTCAGGGCACCATGGACAGGCTTGGAAGTATGGCTGGCTCTGGCAGATGTCTGGGGCCACCCTGGCCCCTAGGGTATGGCAGGAGCCCCCCCCCCCCCCCCGTGGTGCCTGCGATGTGGCTGTCTCAGCAGCGCACGGAGCCTTCGCACTCATTGCCTCTTTCTCAGGTAAAGGGGCCGCCATTTCACAGTGTCACTTCTGTGCTGATGCTGGCTGCATCTATTATTTCCAGTGTTGTCATTTACGATCTGGCTGACGCTTTGGGGACCTGTGTCAGGGAGCAGCTGATTGTGCGGTTTCCTTGTTATGAGCAATGCCTCTCATTATGGGCCCATATTTTGCTGGGTTTCCATATGGTCTGGTTTGAGCCTCCATTATGAAATCACCATCAGAAACCTCGAAGCCATTACCATTGCCCCACTCTCCATCTTTTTAATCACCTCCTTCCTCCCCTCTTCCCCTGTGTGTGTGTGTGTGTGTGTCTATATGTGCCTTTCTCTCTGTATGTCGTGCACGCTCTCTCTCCCTGTCTCTGCAGCTGGCTCTCTGTCTCTCTCTGTCTCTCCCTGTCTCTGCGGCTGGCTCTCTCTGTCTCTCTCTGTTTCTCTCTGTCTCTGTGGCTGGCTCTCTGTCTCTCTCTGTCTCTCCCTGTCTCTGTGGCTGGCTCTCTCCCTGTCTCTGTGGCTGGATCTCTGTCTCTGTCTCTCCCTGTCTCTGCGGCTGGCTCTCTGTCTCTGTCTCTCCCTGTCTCTGTGGCTGGCTCTCTGTCTCTGTCTCTCCCTGTCTCTGCGGCTGGCTCTCTGTCTCTCTCTGTCTCTCCCTGTCTCTGTGGCTGGCTCTCTGTCTCTGTCTCTCCCTGTCTCTGCGGCTGGCTCTCTGTCTCTCTCTGTCTCTCCCTGTCTCTGTGGCTGGCTCTCTGTCTCTGTCTCTCCCTGTCTCTGCGGCTGGCTCTCTGTCTCTCTCTGTCTCTCCCTGTCTCTGCGGCTGGCTCTCTGTCTCTGTCTCTCTCTGTCTCTCCCTGTCTCTGTGGCTGGATCTCTGTCTCTGTCTCTTTCTGTCTTTCCATCTGGTGTAAATGTCTGTTCCCTCTACAGCTTGTCTTGCCACTTTGTTGCTCTCCCTTTTTGATTGTGTGAACTGTGTCAGGCATAAACATTTCGAAAGCTTGACTTGCTTGGTGACACACGTGTCAGACATTTTCATTTCCCACGAAGAACACCACATCTGAATTCCATTTCTTGACCCCAGAACTGCTGACATTTCTGCCAGGTAACTTTTTGCTGGGGACTGTCATAGAGGGTGTTTGGCTGCATCCCCATCTTCTGCCACTAGGTGTCAGTAGCATCCCCCAATTGTGGCAGCTGAAATGTCTGCAGATCTTGCTGAAGGCTTTGGGGTCAGAACAGACGCCTGTGGTTGAGGACCTGCACCTTGAGCAGGCAGAGCGGATTAGAGTGCTGAGTGTGATGGCACAGGCTCTGCCTCCACTCCTGTACCGGGAGAGAACCATGGTTTCTTCGTGTCCCTTTCTGGTGGCTCCAACGCTGGCCAAGTGAGACCAGCTGGAATCAAAGTGTGCATCACCTACCTGTGCCCTCCCCAGCCAGCTCCACAGCCCTTCCTGTGTCCAGCAACTGTCTTTTGAATTTGCACCCGGAGACGTGGGAGAATATCCCTGAGCCCATGGGCTCACGGCGGCTGTCAGTCAAGGACATTGTTTCTGGGAAGCACCTTTTAGGGTTTGTCATGCCAGCAACTACGCCACAGCCTGCTGTGCAGTGAGGTGATATCTCAAGGCCGCATCTCCTGCCCGGCTCTCCTCTTCTTGTCTTTTTCCCGTGGGTGAATAATCCTCTAAAAAGTATTTATGTCTCCAGAAGCTGGCACTTTCAGTCCCTGGTTATGATTTATAGTGAGTTTACCTTTGATTTTGAAATACGCCATTAGTTTATCAGTCGTAGACATCACGCCCTGAGTTCCTGAGCTGACGGATGGATGGGGACGTTAGCCGTTTTCACACTCCCGTCCTCTTTACAAATCGCCTGCCCTCGGGTACGATGCACACAGCCGCAGGCTGGGTTGGAAAGTCAAAGGGTCCCCGGGGAACTGAGCAGTGCTCACAACGTAGGAGCTTGAAAGCAACCTGCAGAGTTGCTTAATGTTGTAAGCTTACCCCAAGCTGCAGTGTGAATCCTGACTTAAACAGCAGGCCCAGGGGGTTGAGACCTGAGCTATGTGGGGGTCGGACACTGTCCAGTCCTGGGGCTGCCCACTGGAGGAGCATACGGGCACTGTGTGGGCGTGGAGAGGAGCACTAGGGTGGACACCATTGCCCGTAGGAACTGTGGCCAGAAGCTGGGACCTGAGCCCTGATCCCACTGATGCACAATATCTACTTTCTTTCTTCATGAACTGCAAAGCAGCCATAGACTCTAAATGTAATCTTTAAAAGGAGTGCAATATAATCTAAGGGATTTTGCATACCAGGAGCCGAGGTAGAGAAGAGGCCTTTGGTAGACAGCAGCACTGAGGTGGTAAAAAGTCGGTTATCAAAGATCTTAAAGCAGCCGGCGTGGGAATGCCCAGGCACACAGGTTCTGACACCACCGAGGAGAGAGAGGAGATGCGAGATGGGGATTTTAGAACTGAAAGGGCAAAGTGAAAATCTTCACGAGGTGTGCTCTGGCTGAAGTCTGTGAACCTGAAGATCAATCAGCAGAGCTGGGGCCTCCTGAGCTGAAGGAGCAGATTGGCAGCAGCAGGCTGGGCTCCGCTGCTGACCAGTGGGACAGCGCCCGAGTCCAGCGCCCGAGTCCAGCGCGCGCGCCCGAGTCAGCACCTGATCCCCAGGAGATGGGAGGGTGCCTGGTGCAGGAAACAACTCTGAAGATATGACAGGAAACCTCGGGGCAAGAGACACAAACCTAGATACCGGGAAGCTCCGCCAAAGCTCAGAGATGAATGGGAAGTGACCTCAGCAAGACAATGTGAAATCGGCGAGAACTAAATAGAAAAGTGGTTGGTTCTTTGTCTGCAGAGAAATGGTTGATGCGGATCGTGGTGGCCTCCCTCCCCAAAGCTACAAGGGCCAGTGGGGAAAAACAAAAGGTTTCAGAACCCAGGGCTCTGCACCCGTCAATAGTGACCAGAGCACAGGCATTGCATTCCCAGGGAACCAGAGGAAGGGAATTGGGGAGCAGCGTGGCATTGGCTGAGTTTCTCTAGACAGAAGGAAACGCGGAGAAAGGAGGGCTGAGCCGGCTTTATGTTACATTGTATCCTGTGAGGTCTTCTAGGCGTAATGTAAGGAGCCAGGGGCGTCTGGAAGAGAGCAACTGCATTCCGTCCTCTCAGGGTAATGAGATGCCGGAGATGAGTTGATGAGTTTTCATTTTAATTCTTTTAGTTACCTACTTGAGAAAGGGTCTCACTGTGTAACCGCAATGGCCTCAAACTGGTGGCGACCCACCTCTCAGCCTCCCGAGTGCTGGGTTACAAGCCTGTATGTACCACCACCCCTGGTGGGAATTTATACTTAAAACCTTTAGAGAAATCATTAACAATAAGATACCACATTAATTACAATTAGTTTTGTAAATGCCAGACAGAAACAAGGGAGGAAGGGCTTATCTGGCTCACAGCGTCAGAGGGACTACAGCGCATCCTAGCGGGAAGGCGGGGGGGGGGGAGATTTGATTTAGACTTCTAGCTTGGGGGAAGAGGAGGTAGAAGGAGCCGGCCAGAGTTGGGGGTGGATGTGATGGGCAAAGGTGGCTCCCAGTGACCGGTTTGCAACAGCCAGGCCCCACCCAGTGAAGGTCCACATGCCTTTAAGATAGCTCTGAACGTGAGCCCATGGGGGGCATTTCAGATTCAAACTGTAACAGCCTAAACCTGGGAACCGAACCTGGGTCCTCTGCAAGAGCAGCCAATGCTCTCAACCGTGGAGCCATCTCTCAGGCCCCTACGGCTTAGATTTTTTTCCTTTAATTTTTATTCTAATCCTCACAGAATGTAGTGTCTACAGAGTCACTTTCTGGGAGCCAACTCCCAGAGAAATGGGAACCGGTTCACACAGGAATTTGTCCACTGCTGTGCTATTTGTGGGTACCTCTGTGTACAGCCTGCAGCCTGGCAGCTAACCATGCGTTCCCAGTGAGTGGGAGGATGGGTGGATGGACATAGCCTGGAGACTGGCAGCTAACCATGTGTCCCCGGTGAGTGGGTGGGCGGACAGATGGACAGATGGATGGACGGACGGACGGATGGATACAGCCTGCAGACTGGCAGCTAACCATGCGTCCCCGGTGAGTGGGTGGACGGATGGATGGATGGACTGGTACATCAGTGTGATAGGGCACGACTCAGCCATGAAAGGCGTGGACTGTCCACGTGTGTGTTCACTCACAGTGTGGTCAATGCTCATGAGCATTGTGATGACCCAGTGAGCGAGGCAGCCACCCTCGAGGGCTGCCTGCTGCATGACCGTGTTCACGCGACACTCAAGGAGACCAGCCTAGTTATGGAGAAGCGGGCAGTGGCCGCTTGGACCAGCCGAGGGAGGGATGGGCAGGTCATGTGACTCTGCACAGGGGTTAAAACCCACAGGGCTACAGCTATGCAAGTAAGTCAACATCACATGTTAATTAAAAACACACACATTGTGGCTTATTAAGTACCTTAAACTATACTTCTTGGGTAAATGTCATTCCCTGATAATACAGTCTCCTGGGATTTTAATGCCACAACTGATTTTCATCCCAGAAAATTACTTGTTTATGATCTGAGAACACGCGGCTTCCAGAGTCTTCCAGAGTCTTTGCTCTCTTGTTTAAACTTCTTTGAGGGAGTCTGGGCCGTAGGGCGGGGGCAGTTGTACTGGCCAGTCATCGACGGGGGTGGGGTGGGGGAGTGCCACTGAGGGATGGCATCGTTGCTGTCACCATCACAGGTGAAGCAAATGGAATCAGGAACCATCCAGTTCCAGTTCTCGCTGAGTCCGGACATCCCCACAGAGCAGCAAGTCAATGGCCCCACGGCAGAGCGGCATTCCTCCAGGAAGATCCCCGTGTCCCCTTCAGGTGAGTCCAGGGGTCTGACTCTAGCCTGCTGCTCGCTCGCTTCCCTCTCTCAGCCCTGCAGGGTAATGGCCGCAGATGGCTCCTTGAGTTAATTGCCTGGTTTCCCTTAAGATGATGATGTGGGGTTGGACAGCACGATAATGTGTGGCCCAGCTGTTTGTCGCCTCCAGTTACTTAGCAGCTCCCCAAGCAAGCGTGTGTCTGTTGGTGAAGGGTGACTTCATCAAGGGCGCTTCACGGGGGCGCCCTGCGAACGTGGGGCCTGCGAATGTGAGGCCGGCTGGGAGTGCTGGCAGCCAGCCCCTGGTTGCGTGTTGGTTCGGGTTGGTGTTGTCGATCTTCTGTTTGCGCTGAGACACTGTTGACCTCCAGTGATTTGGGGATGTCCCTCCAGGAATGGGTCATAATGGGGTGCCAGTGGCCATGGCCCCCAACAGAGACAGGTTCAGTCCTTGCCCGGTGAGAGACAGGTCCACAGGCGTGTGGGGGGGCGGGGTTGAAGAACCATTACTGTCATTGAGCTTAAATGGCCCAGTATCTTCTCTGTGGCCCGGGCCTGAGCCTGTGGTGGAGCCAGGATGGCGTGCACAGACAGCAAGATGCGTATGTGGGTGTTGAGTAGTGGCTTGGGTTTCTGGAGCAGATCTGTCTCCTGCTAACTGAGGGCTGTAAGGGACTGGACACAGGTGGCCTTGCCCTTCTGATCCAGATGGATGGGTGCGGGAATGAATCCATAGAGCAGGGCAATGTGCTCCCCTCCTCGTTTAGCTGTGCTCCCCTCCTCCCACTGTGCTCCTCTTCTCCCGCCGTGCTCCCCTCCTCCCGCCGTGCTCCCCTCCTCCCGCCGTGCTCCCCTCCTCCCGCCGTGCTCCCCTCCTCCCGCCGTGCTCCTCTTCTCCCGCCGTGCTCCCCTCCTCCCGCCGTGCTCCCCTCCTCCCGCCGTGCTCCCCTCCTTCCTCCGTGCTCCCCTCCTCCCGCCGTGCTCCTCTTCTCCCGCCGTGCTCCCCTCCTCCCCGCCGTGCTCCCCACCTCCCGCTGTGCTCCCCTCCTCCCGCCGTGCTCCTCTTCTCCCGCCGTGCTCCCCTCCCTGCCCTGCCCCCTCCTGCCCTGCTCCCCCTCCTCCCGCCGTGCTCCCCTCCTTCCGCCGTGCTCCCCTCCTCCCGCCGTGCTCCTCTTCTCCCGCCGTGCTCCCCTCCTCCCGCCGTGCTCCCCTCCTCCCGCCGTGCTCCCCTCCTCCCGCCGTGCTCCCCTCCTCCCGCCGTGCTCCTCTTCTCCTGCCGTGCTCCCCTCCTCCTTCCGTGCTCCCTTCCTCCCGTCGTGCTCCCATCCTATTGTGCTCCCACCCTCTTGCTGTGCTCCCTGCAATCTGGCTGCCCAACAGCAGGGGGATGCCGTGTGGCCATGGAGGACATGTTGTGCCTTCCTAGCCTGTCCCTGCCCTCCCCGCCCAGCCCCCTGATAATCTGGGCAGTTTTGACTGGTTTTCTATCCTGATTCGGTGCCTGAGTTCTGGCATAGGAAACTCTTTGCCCATTGAGGTTCTGGTGTGTGGGGCCTGGTCCTGATAGGTGAGTGGCCTACTGACCGCTTTGACCTACATACAGCTCGCTATGCGGACCTCTGTTTCCCCGGTCTTTGGGATTTTCCGGAATGCCTAGTAGCAGGAACCAAAACCTAACCATTTGGTGGCAGCGAGTTGAAGGCTCCCCTCTGCAGAGCAGTTGAAGTTCCTAGTTTGGGTTCTGTGCTTAGCAGGCCGTTCGTTGAGGGTTGCTCCCACAGAGCCCACGTCAGTGGACCATCTTATGTAAGTGAGTCTGCCGAGCAGCATCCCCTGTACTTGGGATGCTGCCAAGAAGTTTGCCGGATGCCTCTGGGTGGTGGGCGGCAGACGTGCACTTTCTGCTGGAGTCACTCCCGAAGAAATCCTCATTTCATGTGGAATACAGCCTTACAGACTTTCAATGATCCCGCTGGCTAACCGGTACGTCTCGGTCAGTTCGCTCTCCTGTTTGTCTCTCAGATACCGATACCGAACAGCCACACTGGATGGGGTGTGTCTGTGTTGAACCTTCTTGGGGTCAGGGCAGTGGGTGTCCCTATCTGTGCTAAGAATACCCCTAGTTTTTCTCTTTTGGGACACTGTGGTTAGTGGTGGTCTGAACCCTGGGTGCAGCCAGAGTCGTGTAACTTTGTGTCACCCTGTCCCTGTAACTTCGCTCCCCTGCCTGTCATAACGTGCACGGTTCTGCCCTCTGCCTTCTGCACGGTTCTGCCTGGTTTGTGGACACTTGGGATTCTCTCTTGTCTGGGGGGGGGTGAGAACTTGCGAGTCTAATAGGCGTTCTAACGCTCTGAGGACAGTGTGATGGTCTGCGCCTTGCTCTTCAACTGGGTGTTGGTTTGGGCCTGACCAGGTAGGGCTGACTCCCCCCCCCCCACCCCAGATGACTAGACCCTCACACCCTCTGGCCGTGCTCTCCAAATCGGACATGAGGTCAGCTGGCGGCCTCATGGGCATCTCTTCTTCCTGGTGGTCTTCCCTGCTGTGTCTGTCTGTCTACTTCCTGGTGGGTCCTGTGCTGGGGCCTGGGAGGCCCCTCTGCCATCCTGAGCTGTGGTCCTCACTCTGGGCCCTGTTAGTAACAGGTGTGTCTGTCCAGCGTGCTGACCGTGTTCCCTCTCTCTCGACATTTGGTGGTCACTCAGGACTTCTGCCTTTGTTGCCTGTTGCTCGGGTTCTTCAAATCACCCTCCCCTTCCCCTCCCCTCCCCCTCCCCTCCCCTCCTCTCTGTTCCTCAATCCTCCCCTCTTCTGCCCAGCCCTGCCCTCTTCCCCTGTCTTCTCCTCTTCCTTCTTCAGGTGGGTGGGAAGATAATGTCTACCTACAAGGAGAAGTCGACCCTCCTCCTCTCCAGCTCACTCCCCCACTGTTGGTGTAAGGCCTGTGCAAGCTCTCCTGGAGACATTCCCGGTGCTCTCCCTTTTACTGAGCCGAGTCTTAGCTTGTGATTTCTGCCCAGAGTGCATTGTACCCACAGACTGTGGGCATCTTGCTGCTGCTACAACTTGGCCAACACTTGGTGACTTAAAGCAGCATGTGTCCTTGATCTCACTGCTCTAGAAGTCACACACCCACAGTGGGTCTCACACACTTAGGTTGGGCCGAGCAGAGCTTCATGCCTTCCGCGGGCTTCATGGAGCAGCCATTTCCTCCCTCTCACCAACATCTAGTGGCTGCTTGGCCCCTCCCCTGCCCCTTCTGCCTCTAGTCACCGGGCCCCCTCACTAGCCACCAGCTGCTCCTGTGGATTAGGGTGTGGCTGTCTCAGTGGGAGCAGTTAGTCACCCGGCTGACCACAGGGAGTCAGGACAGACCAGCCAGTAGATGGTGCTGGCACACTTGGTTATGCAGAGAATGTAAACTTCCAGTCCTAGCTTCTTGTCACTCACATAAATGTTGCAGAGTAACTCATGTCATGCATGCGATCGTGTATACATTCACACACACACACACACACACACACACACACACACACACTTCCAGATGGATTAAAAAAGCAAAGCTTTATAAACTCCAAGAAAGTGGACTATGACATAACGGGACAGAGGTGGCGTATGCAGAACCCAAGTCTCTAATGGCTGGCACAGCAGACAGGCGCAGAGGATAACTGTACCCTTGTCATCATCATGAATAGCAGAATGTCCCCAGCTGTTCTTAGATTCCCCCCCCCCCAGACTGGGCTTCTCTGTGTAGCCCTGACTGTCCTGGAACCTGCTTTGTAGACCAGGTTGGCCTTGAACTCACAGAGGTCTGCCTGCCTCTGCCTCCCGAGTGTGGGGATTAAAGGCGTGCACCACCACTGCCTGGCTGTTGGCTTTGGCTGTTCTTGAGTATAGTTTTTGTTTTAGATTTTATTTTTATTTTTAATTATGTATATAATTGTATGTCTGTGTGTGGGTGTGGTGCATGTGAGTTCAGTGATGATAGTAACCAGAAGTGTCACGTCTCCTGAAGATGGACTCACAGGCAGTTGGGGGCCGGCCACTTGCTGTTGGTGCTGGGAACTGAACTGGGTCCTCTACAAGAGCGAAGCATGCTAGTAACTTAAGCGATCTCTCTACTTCCTGCCCCCGAGTTTTATATTGTGTTTATGGAGCTGGTAACACAGAGCTTAGTGGAGAGCATGGATGAATGAATGAATGGATGGATGAATGGATGACTAAATGAATAAATAAATAATTAGTCGTGTGTTTGGGCAGAGGAGGGTGTCATTGTCCGATGCATTACTCCCTTGAGACAGGGTCTCTGACTGACCCTGGAGCTAGGCTGACCAGTAAAGCCCAGTACTCCAGCCTCCATCCTCCACAGCACTGGATACTCAGCTGTGCCTGGCTTTTTGCATGTGTGCTGGGGATTTGAACTCAGCTCTTCATGGTTGAGCTCACCGAGTGAATCATCTTCCCAGCACCATGACCTTTTAGTAGTCAATAATTAACAACAACACAACAACAACAACAACCACAACCACAACACCCCCTGCTCCTCAGCCAGGAGTGGCTTTATTTGCAGGATAAATGAAAGAAAGGAATGAAAGAATCTCATTGGCTCTTCTGATAGAAAGTCTCTGAGCCGGCATGACGTTAGGTGTGGCGGGGCCCAGGACCCCCGATGCCCCTGACCCCATCCGTCCCCGTGCAGTGTGCAGCTCTCCCCTCCTTTGGGCTCTGCTCTCTGCAGAACCGGGCTTCTTGCCAGAAGTTTCTCCCTGCTCTGCTCTGAGCTCTGGCACTCCAGGATAATCCTTGGATTTAGGAATCCCAACAGAGCTTTGTCACTTTGTTCCAGAAGAGTTTTGAGGTAGTGATCAGCGCCCTGCTGTGCTACCCTCCGTGCCGCTGGCAGCAGGCTGGGGGGGGGGGGGGGGGGGGGGGGGGGTGTGGGGCTGGGGTCTCACACCCACTCTGGGTATGTGGTGAGGGGTCCAGGTCTGCTCTC